CGACCCTTGTCGAGCTTGACAAGGGTGGGTGACAGCAATGCCAGTCATGTGCCAGGGAGGAAACAGGGGTGGCATTTTAATTGTTACTCAGTGTGCCAAAATGTTGAAGGACTGGCCAGGAATAGAGCACAAAATGTATAAAATTACTGTTGAGAAATGTAAGAGGACACGATTTGGAAAACAGAATCAAATAAGCTCATTTGACTACTGCGGGGTACGGAGAAGGCCCTATCCTACATCATCACATAATGCGCCACTCCCAGAGGTGGAACAATGAGAAGGCCCTCCCCAAAATCTAAGGTCATTGACAGGTTGGTACAAAGAAAGGCGCTCCTTTGGATATTTGGGTGCTAAGTTGTGTACGTCAACATCACCGTCAGCCAATGTTGATATTTTAGAATCCTGTATAGGTGTCACATGATTCCAGCTAGTGGGAATCATGTGACTAGTTGACGTTCTGGCCGCTGCATTCTGCTCTAATAATTGTAGCATCTGGATAGTCTGCAAGGGCAACTCCATGCAAAGTGAACTACAAGAATCCAGCTGGAAGTAGCTCCTGGCTACTTGAAAGGAAGATTTTTCTTTCATTGGCAACTTAGAAATGCCTAACTTTTCATAGGATGACAGTCTTAGCTGGACACAAGGTATATGTGTGTGAGTAGGGGTTGGGGGAGCATATATTGCTAAGAAGCACTGTGTAATTTTTATTTATCACATTTCTACAGCTCCCTTCTCCCTGAAAGTTCTCAAAATGGTATACATCTAATCCAATGAAATTTATTCTATGTAAAATTAAACCATAAACTTAATAATAATAATAATCAAGCAGTGTATACATCTGTGAAGAAGACACATAACTTAAAGGCTCAGCTATGCCCAATGAATGTAATTTAAAAGAATAAGAATAAAAGATGAATGCCGGAAGGCTACAAGACAGGGACTAAGTGTATTTTCAGTGGCAGTTCTGCATTTGGGGCACCACAACAGTGAAGGCCCCGTCTTGTGCCTGCACACTCTGAAGCACAGTTGTACATTGGACCAGATCTTAAAGCCTGGGTAGGCAGAGCTTCAGAGAAGTGTTCCATCAAGTATTGATTCTTGAGCCATTAAAGGTTTTATATTCCAATGTTAATATCTTGAAGCTGGACCTGGAAGCTAGTTGGCAGCCAGTGTATGCCATCGAAATGCAGAGCATTTTGAAATTTAAAACAAGAAATGAGAGGACATAACAGATGAACGGCATCCCCGACATGTGCTTGCAATAAAAGCATGAACATGAAAGAAAGAATAAATGAAACCCTATTTGGTGAAATAATTAAAGAAGTCTTGTTAAGATTTAGAGTATTGAGTGAGCCAGCTGTATAGAGACTGTAACTAAGAGAACTGCTCCAAATGAAAGCCAAATGAGCAATGGCATAATATTTTGAGAAAGCAAATAGCAAGGATTGCTGTGTGTAAAAGAGTGAAGCCAGAAACAGCACATACATTGCAGAAGGCAACAAAAACACACCATATGGAAAGGGGGGTCAATATTCTTGACGCCTTAGTGTTTAATAACAAGGCAATGGTAATCACAGCAAACAAAGAACAAAGAAAACATTTGTTACTCATCAGGAAACCAGTTTGTTTGCAACCTGATGTGAAATCTGAAATAAAATAATTTATCTTTGGCATATTACATAACTTGCTGCTACCATATTTGACAAGAGACTACTCACACCGAAGTATGGGGCATTATGGGAATTAGTTTCTGTGGCACTGTGAAGAATGAACCCAAGAGTTTTTGAAACAAGGCAGTAATTACAACACGCTGTGATGCGCTGAAGGGTAGTCATTTTAAAAGTGTTGTACGTTTTCCTAGGAAAAGAGCTATTTAAGAGGACGGCAAATTTGGGGAGGGTTACAATAAGGATCTGATTGACAGATAGACCAGGCAGTCACACCCTTAAAGCTAGGGTAGGAAAGATCTTTCTGCCTAAGGGCCATAGTCCCTTGCAGATATGCTTCGGAGGTACTGCTTACCTGTGGCTGATGGGAACAGAGGCTAAATTGGGCAGAGCAATGGAGGCAACTCCTACCTTTTCATAGCAGGCTACATTCCAACCACACGCACACAAACAAGGCTTCTATAGCACCACGTATACATCTCTCCATCCAGGCAAGCAAGAGGCATTAGCATAGCTCAAGGACACAATCCAGCCAAGGAAAAATAATAGAATCATGGAGTTGGAAGGGACTCTTAAGGATCATCTAGCCCAACCCCCCACAATGCAGGAATATGCAGCTGTCCCATACAGGGATTGAACCTGCAACTTTGGCGTTATCAGCACCATGCTCTAACCAGTTGAGCTATCCACAAGGAAGCAATATAGGACAGGGCTGGTGGGGGTTTGGCCTGGGGAGAGTCCCAAGTACCAGATAGAGAGGACCAGAGGACTGGATTCTGTCCCCGGACCTGAGGTTCCCGACTTCTGCATCCAACCATCCATCTGGGTGACGAAAGCCACTCAAGTTTATCCTTCTTCCAGCCAGCAATAGGTTCGGCAATATATTTGGTGCATCTAAATGAGTGCGTTTCCCGTTGCGTGGGGAAATGTAAATGTCATTCACACTCTGATGCTGATCTGCATGGATAGGTTTATTGATATCATTATAGTACAGAGCACAATGGCTAGACATGCAAGGCAAAAAAGGCAGCAACATGAATGGAAAGCTTTTAACACAGTGGAGATGGTGTAAGAAAATAACACAGGGATTGTTGAAGGGTAGTGGAAATATAGGGGGGGGGGGGATGACTAGATGAAAAGATGCCACCATTTAATTGCACGTTCCAAACACAGGCACAGCTAGGGAAGAGGCCCCGATCTCTCTGGCCACCTGACGGCTAACAGTGGCATCCTTAGCCCCTCTGAGAAATGCCAAGTTAAAGCCAATGCCATAGTCCTTTCCCACTCACCACCAAGCCTTGGGATATTAAAAAGCACAGCAAATTATTTACTCATAGCACCATCTATGTACATGGCACTTTACAAAGAACAAGAATGACAGGGCCCTGCCCCAAAGAGCTTTGGCTTGGAGCCAATTTGATTCCCTCCCCCTCTTTCTTTTTTCTTTTTCCTTTCTCCTCCTGTGATGAGGCTGCATTTTAATATTTTAATGTTTCAATATTTTAATTGTTGTATTTTAATCTTGTTTTTAAGTTGTATTCATTCAACTTGTTTTTATTATTGCTTGTTAGCCGCCCTGAGCCCGGCCATGGCTGGGGAGGGCGGGGTATAAATAAAAATTATTATTATTATTATTATTATTATTATTACTATTACAATATAGACACAGGGAAGCAACAGAGATTTGGGGCAGGGGGAGAGAGAGAGATTGAGGCATGGATAAGCAAGAGAGAGAGAGAGACGTGATTCCTTCAATTACATATTCTCTGGCTTAGTTAAATTAGGATTGGCGAGATGTGGCAAAGTTTCCCCGCAGAACTTGAGTTTTGAGGTGCGATTTAAAAGGGATTAAGGTGGTCATGCAACAAGCAGTTCTGTGCATAAGGGGCAGGAAGGGAAAATGGATGAAGTCATTTCAGGGAGCAGGAAACCTTTAGGCATTGCTGGGTGGCAGAGCCTGATGAGGAAAACTCACAGGAAGGAACCTGTTGGGAAATACGTACAGAGAGATAAGGAGGGGCAAGGCCACGAGGTTTTTAAAGGGGATGGCAAGAAGCTTGTGCAAGATCTATGTGTGTACAGGAAGTCAGGGAAGGGGTTTAAGGAAGTCACACGGTCAGAGTGATGAGAGGTGAGTAATTTTGGCAGCAAAGTGCAGGATGGATGGACGTGGACAAAGGTGAGACAACAAAAGTTTGGAGAGAAGACTGCAGTAGTTAAGGTGAGATACGACCGAGGACAGAGAAGAAAAAGGCGAATTCCTGTAAATGTTATAAAGGGGGAAACTGGCCAGATTTAGCAATGGACTGTTATCTCACATTCTGACAAATTCAAAGCTGTATTTGGAAATTATTTTTATCTGAAAACTTGTAAATATTTTCGCAACTCAGTTGTAAACACTTTTCCTTAGAGAGTTTACGCTTTAAGGGAAAAAACAGGTATTGACAGCCGTTATCATGCAGGCTGAGCAATTCTATGGGTTTATTTATGGGTTGTATGTGTGTGTATGAGAGAGAGAGAGAGAGAGAGAAATCATCTGGCAGAGTACTGCAGTTGCACAGGAAAAGCAGCTTTCATTTCTTCTTTCATGGGCTGCAAAGGGAGGGAATTAACTAGTCCAGTCTCCCAGGGCTGACAAGAACCTGGGATGCTGCCTTATACCAAGTCAGATTTTTGGCCTACCTAGCTCAATATTGTCTACACTGACTGGGAGTGACTTTCTAGTTTCAGGCAGCAGACATTACCAGCCCATATTAGAGACACTGGAGGAACCAGGAACATTCTGCATAGCAATCAATGAGCTGTGACCCTTTGTCAAACCTCATACCATGTTAGGTTGTTTTTCAGGTGTAATGGGGAAAGAAGCAGCTTTGGATCTTGCAGATCCTGATATGCCCCTCCATGCCTCTAGCTGGCCCTCAGGATTTGATTTATTTATTTATTTTGCTTTTTTATTTAATCATATCATCAATGCACACTGTGTTACAGTCAAGTACAAGGTAGTAAGAAAGAAAAAAAGAAAAACGTAACTTAAATATAACACACATGTATATAAGCAACGATCACAATATAACTTATTCCTCCACTTTAACTCTTATAAACCTTAATTTCAACTCCCGTTCCTCTTTTCCTGGTTTCCTATCTTTTCAAACTGCATTTTCTTACTCTACTAAATTATTTTTATTACCATACTGTCCCATTTTGTCACGTCTACTGCTGAGCATTTTTTCAATGTTACACTTATTTTCTTGTTATAGTATTTTTCCACAAAATCTGTATATAATGCCCAGCCCTCTTTAATTTTTTTTATTGTCTTTATTTCTTAATCTGTTTGTCATGCTGGCAAGTTCTATATAATCTATTATTTTAAGGTGCCATTCTTCTTGTGATGGTACTGCATCTGTTCTCCACTTTTCTGCTACCAAAGTTCAGGCAGATGTAGTCGCATACATCCACAACGTAGTGTGATTTTTTTGGTATTTCTGTTGTCATTATTCCCGGAAGTAAAGCTCCTGGGGTTTTAGGAAATGTTCTTTTAAACATTTTCTTAAGTTCGTTATAAATCATCTCCCAGAATTCTTTTATTAATCTGCAAGACCACCATGAATAATAAAATGTTCGTTGTTTCCTTACATTTCCAGCATAAGTCACGTTTAGATCTAAACATTTTAGCTAGTTTATTTGGAGTCAAGTACCACCTGTGGATCATTTTAAAACAGTTCTCGTTTAGTGTGAAACTAGTGGTGAATTTTAAATTTGTTTTCCACAAATGTTCCTACAGGTTTAAATCAATATTATGACCCACAGCCTGTGCCCATTTGATCATAGATGATTTTGCAAATTCTTCTTTCGTTTCCCAATCAAGACCCTATACATTTTAGATAAATTTTTAGCTCTGGATCTTAGGGTTGTTGTTTTTTCAAACTGATGGTTTTCTACAAATTCCAATTGCTTGTTGTTGTTTAGTCATGTCCGTCTCTTCGTGACCCCATGGACCAGAGCATGCTCCAACTGCTTATCTACCTTAAATTTTGAATTGATTTGATGATAATTTAACTAGTCCGATACAAATTCTTTGATCTCTTCAATTTTCCTCATTTTGGGCTCTCATTCTGAAAAATCTAACAATTCATTATAGGTACCCCTGTTATCATTCATGTTATTATTTTTTTCCATGTCTCAGCTTCTATTGGGGATAACCACCTTGGTGTTTTGTTTTCTAGTAGGTTTTTGTATTTTTCCCATACCCTAATTAAGTTTTTTTCCAATTACATGATTGGTGAAGGTTTTACGTATTCCTGCTTTATCATACCAGATACAGGCATGCCAGCCGTGTTTGACATCATGACCCTCCAAATCTAGCAACTGTGTATTTTCTAGCAATATCCAGTCTTTTATCCAATACAGGGAAGCAGCTTCAAAATACAATTCCAAATCTGGGAGTGCAAAACCTGCTCTTTTATATCAATAAGAATCTTATTTTTTTGATCCTAGGTTTCTTCCCTCTCCAGATAAACTTGGACAGATCCTTTTGCCAATCTTTTAGACATTGTGTGTCATTAAGTATTGGGATTGTTTTAAATAAGAATAGTATTTTTGGGAGGTATCAAGGCTATATATAAGGAACAATGGGCAAACATTATAAGAAATAACATCGGGTCAGAAAAATGCAATATGATGAAAGGAACAAGACAAAGGTGCCCACTCTCTCTGTTATTATTCTTACCTTAGAAATTCTATTGCAAAGTATAAGGAATAATGATAAAATTAGAGGAATGACAGTGGGCGAGCAAAGTTACAAAACAAAAGCTTTTGCAGATGTTATTGTCTTAACTTTGGAACAACCTCGAGAAGGTACACTAGAGTTATTAAAGGAGATAACTGAATTTGGAAAATTGGCAGGTCTCAAAATAAACAAAGATAAAACCAAAATGTTAGTTAAGAACATGGATAACCAAGCTAAAAAGAAATTAAGGGAAATTGCCGGCTGGAAAATAGAGAAAAAAGTGAAGTATTTAGGAGTGTGGCTATTAACAAACAATCATAATATCTACAAAGACAACTACGTGAGAGCTTGGAAAGAATTTTTTTAAAAAAAGATTTAGATATATGGGGCAGAATGCAATTATCATTAATGGGGAGAATCTCAGCGATAAAAATGGCCCCACCCCTCACTGACCCTGCCTCACAACTCTTCTTGAGTATATTTGCCAGACTGTCTTCTTGAACCTGTTGGATGAAGAATGAAAAAAGAGGTATATTTGTATGTAGAAACCTCTGACTCTTGCCTGTCCAGGAGAGTGGAAAAAGTTCAGCATAGAATCATGGAGTTGGAAGGGACCCTGAGGATCATTTAGTCCAACCCCCTGCAATGCAGGAATATGCATTTGTCCCATACAGGGATCAAACCTGCAAGCTTGGCATTATCAGCACCACGCTCTACCCAACTGAGCTGTCCAGGCTCAGCAAAATGAAAAACTCCAGGTACATGGAGGCGAAAGGAAAATTGACCACAACAGTTTCTTTCCCACCTGCTCTCACAGGTGAGTGGTTTGGGTAGTTTCACAGTTGGGGTAGGAGCAATACATGTGTGTGTGACCCTGCTCTTACATGAGCATTACACTGGTCTTCTAATTACTGATCAGGTCTGTGCCTGATGAGCTTTAAAATAAATGCTTTCCAATCCATATATGGTAAGCTGCATGGGACAAAAATGTGTCTTCCTTAAAATGACAGAAGAGACAACACCTGGACAAAAGGTTTGGCCAGATGCATCCTTGCAGTAAATTTTTGTCATTTTGCTTCTGGATCCCTGGAGCAAAGGAGAAAAACTGCACCCTTGTACTTTTGTTTTTTCCTTACTGAAAACCTGGAAGGCCAGATTAGGAAAAAGTCTAAATGCCGCTAGTGCAAAGGATGACTCCACAATTTTCAAGCCTCACGTAATGCTCCCAGGTTGACTTTGCCAGAGCATATTCCTGTCGGTGGAATGTTCTGTGACACTCTGGCACACACCCTGCAACAAAAGCCATTTATTAGTGACTACCATTGACTGTGCAGAATAATTTGCTGCCTTGATTAGAGCCAAAATCTTTTGTTTTACTTGCGCTGCAAAGAACTGAATTATCTCACTTTGATTATTTGCCTAGATAATGGTTATGCATAGCTTGTTAATGGATTATTTCAAAGCCGTGGCTTCAACTATCAGTATTAACTTTACCATTTTAAGGAATTGCTCTTGCTGAACATGAACAGGATATCTGTGTTCCGATGCAGTGCTGTTTTAAGTAGTAAATACTTTTACAACTTCAGTGGCTCTTTCCAAAATATTTTGCCAGTGCTGCATCTCAGATGAGATTACTTCTGTGCTTCTGCTATCAAGGCTTACATTTGTCTTATCAAGCACTTTCAAGATTCCAGATTATATGGTACCTCCTTGTCAGTGTTGAATTGACTATGTAAGATTAGCCGATCTTTTGCTCCAGATGAACCAAATTCTGTAGATAATTAAAAAAATTAAAAGAATATGCAAAAGCAACCAGAACTGTACATTTGTATTATTATTTGTATTATGATAATCATGTAAGTTTTGTTTTCATTCCCTTTCCTAATGATTGCCAAAATAAAATCCTCATTTTTCACAACTGTTGCACACTAGTCAATGTCTTCACTGAGCTATTCACCATGACCCCAAGATAACTTTCCTGGATCATTCACTGCCAGATCAGACCCCATCACTATATAATGTGAATTTCTTTTTTGCTCCAATGTGCATCACTTTACACATGTGTACATTGAACCACATTTGGAATTTTATTGCTCATTCACCCAGTCTGGAGAGATTATTTTGCAGCTCTTCATAATCCTTTTGTTCTTCCTTTTTTTCTTTTTAGCACCCTGAATAATATGGTAACATCAGAAAACTTGGCTACTCTATTTCTGAACAAGTTAAAAAGCACCAGTTCCAATACGTGTTCTTGAGTAGTTATGGGCGATTCTGCCAATTCTGGTTTCTCTCAGTTTCTCATTTTTCCAATCAACTTCAGTTCTCCACATTTCAGTTTGCAAGCTTTTTGTTGGTTTTTATTAAAAAAAAATCCCATAAAAATTTATCAGCAATTTAGTGCAAATTAATCCAAATATACACATTTCTCTATGTAGTTTTCCCTAACATACGCATTTTTGCAGAGCAGTTTCCCTTAATATAATGTATTTTTATATATTTATCATCACTTACGCATTTTTATACAGACAACCCCAAACCTTCCATCAATGTAAATGTAAAGGGACACCTGACCATTAGGTCCAGTCGTGGCCGACTCTGGGGTTGCGGCGCTCATCTCGCTTTATTGGCCGAGGGAGCCGGCAAACAGCTTCCGGGTCATGTGGCCAGCATGACTAAGCCGCTTCTGGCAAACCAGAGCAGTGCACAGAAATGCCATTTACCTTCCCGCTGGAGTGGTACCTATTTATCTACTTGCACTTTAACGTGCTTTCGAACTGCTAGGTTGGCAGGAGCTGGGACCGAGCAACGGGAGCTCACCCCGTCGTGGGGATTCGAACCGCCGACCTTCTGATTGGCAAGTCCTAGGCGCTGTGATTTAACCCACAGCGCCACCCGCATCCCTCCATCAATGTGGTTGGCTTTAAAAGATTAGATAAATTCACGGAGGACATGGTTGCCGGGGGCTGCTAGCCACGATGGCTGTGCTCAGCCTCCACATTTGACACCTGAGGCAAACCACATAATGGCGTCCCCTGCCAGGGAAGAAGAAGTGAGTGAAGATCTATATCAGGAACAAGGAGGGAGAATAAAGATCTACACCAGGATCTGTTGTTTTGGTGGTTGCTGCCGCCTGAGGTGCTTGACTCCCCTTGCCTCATGAATGAGCCGGCCCTGGGAAGCAGTATGCTTCTGAATACCAGTTGCTGGAAATCACAGAAATGCTCTTATGCTCGGGTGCTGCTTGGTGCTTGGCATCTACCTTCTAGCCTTTTTAAAAAGTCCCGTAAGGTAATAATTATGCAAATCATCCTATGGTAACACCTAGGCTTAAGTACATGACAAGTAAATCCCTGCCAGTAATCTAGGGAGGAGGCGGAGGTAGCAATTAGACAAGCAGGTGAAACTGTATTGTAGAACTGGAGGAGGAACGGCGCTCTAATGCATAGCTTTCTAAGCAGTACAACTCCTCTGTTATAATCCACCTGAGGAACTGAACCTCATTCTCCTGTAGCCCAGTTCAATGCAGGCTTACTCAGAAAGAAGTCTTCTTCTTCTTTTTTTACTTCAATGGGACAATTCACTTCAACTCATAAGTATGTGTTCAATTGCAGCAATCTGTTTAAGACACTTGTTATTCTAGGCCAGAAGTCCAATGCTTAGTTTCCTGCAGCAATCAGGCATGAAGGCAACAACCAGTCCCTTCATCTCATGTTCAGAAATATACTCCAAGGGGCTTCAAATCATGTGTGATAAAGTTGTCCTATTGTGAATGCTTGTTGGGTCAGAAGCCTTCAGCAGATGTCAGCAGTAGTCAAGCAGTTAATAATCTGGGACCTGGGATGGTGCTGCTTTTCATTTTTCTGGAAGCTGTGTGTAGACTATTTTGTAGAAATCAAATCAGATTATTTTTTTTTGCTGGTAGCAGCCAATTTAAAGATTACACATCACTAGTGTTATGCCAAGCTGAAAGGGTTGTGAGTTGTCATGGGGGACCAATAACAGCCCCTACCCACCAAAAAACTCTTTGAGAAGAACTTATTACCAAGGTATCTTTGTCATTTTGAGTAAGGTTGTGTGATGCACATATGGCTTGGAGTTGTCTCTTCCTCACAGACAGTGTGCATATTGAACAAGCATCTAGTACAGTGGTATCTTGGGTTACATACACTTCAGGTTACAGACTCCGCTAACCCAGAAATAGTGCTTCAGGTTAAGAACTTTGCTTCAGGATGAGAACAGAAATTGTGCTCCGGCAGCGCGGTGGCAGCAGGAGGCCCCATTAGCTAAAGTGGTGCTTCAGGTTAAGAACAGTTTCAGGTTAAGAACGGACCTCCGGAACAAATTAAGTACTTAACCCGAGGTACCACTGTATTTTGTTTTCTCTTTTGGCATTGTTTGTATGAAGAGCATTTGTATGTTTCTGATGAAAGATTAATTACAAAAAAGTACACTGCATAGACAGGTGCATATTGCATATTTCCTAACATTAATGCTATTCTCATATTCAACTCAAGATTCTGTATTCCACTAATGACTGGGTGTGAGATGGCACAGGCTGCACGTGAGGTGGAAAGGAGGCATGCAGAACAGCCCCTCATAACTATCACCATAATGCACTTTTTATACATACAGCAATTGTTTCTTATTTTTTGCATTTAACTGTTCTGTAATGCAAGGCTGGCTTAAGGGTGGTATATGAATATTTTAAATATATAAAGAAATTATTCAAAACCGTAGGCTAAAACCATTTTGCAACCTGTGCCTATGCATGCTTACTCAGAAGTAAGCTGCACTTACATCAATGGGACTTGCTCCCAAATAAATGGCCATAGAACATTTGGAGATGTCCACCCCGTATTTGAAGATACTTGACCAGTCATGTTAGGAGGCAATCATCTGATGGGTCGACTGAGCACTATTGCAATTCATGATTATTTTCCTGTTCGTTGTCAACTAATTGTACCAAATCACAAGTCAGGTTGGCCATTCAGAACCTGTGATGTTCCCCTGTGTCTGATTTCTCCTTCCTTTTCTCCAAAGCAGCTCTGGTTCCTCCTCATTTCCACTAACTTTTTTTTAAGGGGATGAGCCTTTTCAGTGGTGGCTCCTTGCACGCACAAGTTCCTCTCTTCTACTGAACTGCATCTGGCCCCAGTTTAGGCAGCTGGCAAAGAAACACGTTTTTTCTGCAGGTATTTGGAAGAGAGACCTGATCAGATGAGAGGGTGTCAGACTAGGACCTAGGAGACCAGGATTCAAATTCCCACTCAGCCATGAAGGTCACTGGGTGACCTCGGGCCAGTCACTGCCTCTCAACCTAACCCGCCTTATGAGGTTGTTGTGGGAATTAAATGAGAGGGTAAACTACATACACGACCTTCAGTACTTTGAAGAAAAAAGGTGGGCTTTACAAATGCAATCAATCAATCAATCAATCAATAGGCTGCTACTGCAGCTCTTAATAAATGGCCATTCCGTGCATTTTTATGAGTTGTGAATTTTAAAGATTGCATTATTTTATAACCTTCTGTATTCTTTTCATCTTACTTCTCACTTTGTTGTAAACCACCTTGTTGTCACGTTTTCCCCCAGAAGGGGCGGGCATGATGAATTGTCTAAAACTCTAAATAAATAAGTAAATAACCTACCGGTACATTAAGCGAGCTAACAGTTCAAACAGAAGCCCTGGGAAGGCGTGTGTCGACAGTAAAGCCGACCGTGCGTGTCCCCACAATACAGCAACCCACCAGCAAGTGTACACATGAACAAGCTGCATATCCCACACTCCTGAACTTAAGATGCTTTACCAAGCTCTACCGGTAAAGCCAGGACACAACAACTTATCACACACACACGAAAACTTCACACGCACAAGAACACCGTGTAAACAACAAATCCACACTTCACCTCCCTCGTCTCTATCTCTCTGCAAGCCTTTTCGTTACTTCCCTTTAGTTCGCTTTGGGCTGATACGGATGCGCGTGTGCTTGTGTCGTGTACTGATATAAAGCGACAACAAATTGCAATCCGTGATAATGAGGATAATAATAATAATAACAGCGCGGCTAGCGGCGCCTCCTCGCCCGGCTCCAGCACTAGGGGCTCACGCGCGCTCGCCCGGCTCTATCCGTGTCGTCCTCTGGGCCCTCCCCTTAGACACCCCACATCCAGAGGCACTTTCCCTCTCTCTCTCACCCCCAATCCTCCTCCTCCCTCTCGCGATCCCATTCCCCGGCCCTCCTCCTGGCGCCCCCTGCGCACCCCGTGCGCCACACACGGGTACCTGCGTCGCGCCCAAGCGGGGCGAAGAAGAAACTTTTCCCTCCTGCCGGTTCAAACGTGCTGCCGTAAAGCGGCCGTCTCCCCTGGCAACAAGGTTCCGGCGGCCGAGCACTAGGTGTAGGAAGGTGATGTAAAAAAGTAAAAAAAAAGAAAAGGACATATACACACACGCGCGCACACACATACACAGACACACACATACACCCAACCACCCAGTGTCGTAAACCAGGTCCGGGCGGGGGTTGAGGGGGGGGGGAGAGCGGCGAGGGGGAGGGGGGAAGGGAGGGGGGAGGAGGTGACTGGAGCATTTAGACACAAGCGAGAGGATCATGGCGGATGGCCCCAGGTGTAAGCGCAGGAAGCAGGCGAACCCGAGGCGCAATAACGGTCAGTCAGCTCCGCCGGGCAACGGCCCGCGCCGCGCCGGGGACGCTCAGGGGGGACCGGGCCGGGGGTCGGGCGGAGTAAAACGGGGGGGGGGGAGGAAAAAGAAGAAAGAAGACAGACAGAAGCAGATCCGAGAAGTAGAAAGTAATTTCCCGGGCGCTCCCCGCCGGGAGCCCGGCTCGCCCTGCACCGTTAGATCCGCTACCTGCCTGCCTGCCTCCCTCCCCGCCTCGCGCTCTCCCTCCCCGCCGCCGCCGCCGCCGGGCTGCCTCCTTCTCCGCCTAGCGGTGCCTCCTCCACTCGAGCCTCCTTCGCCGGCGAGGAGCAGCCCTGCCCGGGGACCGTTACACGCCGCCCGCTGCCTCCTCTTTCTCTTCCCCCGTGTCCCACCCTTCATTTTGCCCGGCCGCCGCCCGTCCCCGGCTTCTTTCCCTCAGGAGCGAGAGGGCGAAGCGGAGCCGGGGGGGGGGGCTTTCTTTCTTATTTTCCTAGTCACTCCGGTCCCTTCTCTTTGGGGGGGGGGGGGAGAGAGAGGAAGGCCGCGCCTTCGACCTTATAACGGGCCCCCCCTCACCTCAACTTGGAAACTTATTACCTGAGCTGAGGCGGGTCTCGCCGGCCTCCGAGGAGAAGGGGCGCCCCCTCCGACCCCGCTCCCCAAACTTTTTGTTTCGGGGGGGGGGGGGACTTTGCTATTGCGGAGGGAGAGGGGGTCACTTCCCCTCCTCTCTCTCCTCCCCTCGCGCTGGGGAAAGTCCCCGAGGGAAGCGCGGCGCTTTTCCCTCCCGCAGCCTCCCACCTCCAGTCTTCGCGATCCCCCCATAGTTTGTTGTTGTTGTTTTGGGATGGTGGGGGGGGTGGATGGTGCGCTAAGGCTCATAGTTTGGAGTGGGGGAGGAGAGAGATCCAGAGGAAACTGCGTGTAACTCCCGAACTACCTGCTTGCCAGACACGCAACAAAAACGTCGAGGGCAGGATGACTGTAATGGGGACTTCGTTCTCTGGCGTGTGGCGTGTTTTGGCCCCGGCTGGGGAAGAAGCGGGGGGAAAGCGGGCGGCGAGGGGAAGCACTGTTGCTTGCTGCAGTGTGTATTGATTTTCTTTTTTCCCCTTTTTTTACAAGGGAAACGCACCACATGCGCACCCCTGAGATTGCCCTGGAAAGGGACCCCCTCCTTTTCTCTGCCCCTCCTCCCCTGCCTTCTATGTATTGCTCCCCCCTCTTCTCTCTCTCTCTCTCCCCCCCCCCCGCTACTTTCGCCTCCGCCTCTTTTAGTGCCTGCAGTGCATGTTGATTTATCTCCGTAGCCATTGAACATATTGTTTCTCCTCCCACACCCCCACCAACCTCCAGATCTTGGCAGAAGTGTTGGAAGTGTTTCTGTGAGGTTGGGTGGGTGGTTTTTCCCCCCCTTCTCCCCTCCTTTATCAACGTGATTGGGGTGAAGTGGGGGGGGAGAGAAAGACAGAGCAAAAGGAAGGCTTTCTTTCTGTGTGGGTTGGGGAAGGGACGTGAATCAGCTAAGTTTCTCTTTCTCGCCCTCTTCTTGGATTTCGAGGTACCTGTTTGTATCATAATCATAATAATGGGTGGTAACGGTTTGTCCGCTGAGCCCCCTCCCCGCCTTTCTTCGCTGGCTAGGAACAACTGCTACAGCCTATATAAGGAATGACGCTTACTTTTCAGATTTAAGGGCTGTCTCTCCCCCCCCCCCCTTTATGCATACGTATTACTTTGAAATGAGTTGAAACCTGCGTTGAAAAGTGGGGGAATAAATACTCTAAACTTACGTTGTTGGATTTTTCTTCTTATGTATTCTATTAAAAATAATAATAACGGGAAAACTGATGACTTCTTAGGATGTAAAACGGGAGGTTTTGTAACCTTTCTTGGCAGTTTTTTTTAAAGCTTTCGTTTGGCATTTCCTGTATACGGTTATGGATTGGAAGGGTTCTAGTGGTTGGTGCGAGATCATGACGTTTTGGACAGGATTTTTTTTTTTTTAATATCTCCGAGAAGGAATTATGGTTTCCCCGGGTGAGAGGGCGCTACGACTTCTGATACTTAACGTGAAACACGCACATAAACATTGGCCTTCTAATCGACTAACTAGTTGATCGGGTGGTTCTGAACTAGTAGCTCCCTGCTCTGTATGGGGTGGGTTTATTTATAGCAAGTATCAGGATATATACGGGATATTGTAATGCTAATTTCCTGTTTTAGAGCACGCATTTGTGTTGTCTGTTTAATGTTGAAGCAATATTAAAGGTAAGTTTGCAAAGTGCTCCTCTCTCCTTACCTTATTTAAAATGTTAATGATAGAGAAAGGGGGCTTTTCTTGTTGCTGACGACATGTGTGTGACATGGGAGTCTGAACCACCCAGTCTCCGGGCAGGAGCTGTAAACATGTTTACCTGAGCAAGGAAGAAAATGGATTTTCTCTTAAAGATACGCTTAATTGGAATATTATACTTGTAAAGCATATTAGTAGATGCCTTGAGAGACTGCCTGAAAACCTTCCTTTTGAAATCAACCAGGGAAGAGGGGGAAGAGGGATTTTGACGGCTGCAGCAAATGGCAACTTGTGCAGGTAGGGAAAAAATGGTGTGTGAGGTTTCTCTAGCATGCATGTCAGCGCTCCTGACTGCTGCTCTTGTTCTCAAGGGAGATATTTATTTACCATGCTTGCTGTCAGTGTTATTCCTTTGTGCTTAATATTAGAAAAATAGATTTGAGGCTGTTTAGCACAAACCATTTCGTCTGCAGCATGCATGACTCGTAGAAAACAAAAGGTGCGTGGGATATAATGCTATTCCAGGTATCTTTTCATTTTTCATTATTTCGGTTAAAATCGTCACCCCAGTGTTTTCAGGTTCTGAAGGAAAGCCTTTGATTTATTGTTGAGTGGTTCTGATTATACTATAATCTTTTAACACATAAAGAATAACTTGAACTGCTCTACATTAACCATCACTGGGTAGGCGAGATAATAGATGCCGGATAATAGAGATTTCTCAGCAGTAGGTTCCTGTTTGACTTGCAAATGTTTACCGATCAGAATTGCCAGGGAAAGTTAACCCTTAAACCTTTCCCACAAATGGACAATTGAAATTATTTCTATATCAAATCTCTTCCATGAAGATGGTGTTGATTTCATGCCTTTCAAAGATAGGTACCATGTCTTCCTGCTAATCCTGTGTAATATTTTTCCTGTCTCCAGTCTTAAGGAGGACAGACTATGATAAACTGATTTCCAGCAATGTGATTTTTACTTAGTTGTAACACCAGATTAAGTACCGCTGCTGTCTTAATGGAGTAGTGTACACCTTTTTAAAATGGTATAATTTTTTTAAAGGACTTACTTTTTGATTCCACTGCCTTTGGCTCTTATTAAACTATACATTGATCAACTACCTTTTCTTTTTCCCCTCCCCCCTTAACAGTATAAAGGTGTATTATCTTTGTGCGCCAATGTAGGTATACCTGAGGTATGTGCCATTTTTAATCTCTAAATGTAATCACTGCACTGCCCTCTCATTTGACAGTTGCAGTATTTGAATTCCAAGATGTGTGGACTTAAACATGAATATTTGCCACTAGAAATCTGAACTTGAGTCAGAAAATCTGCTCAAATGGAGCAGCTTTTTTTTTTTTTTTTTTTTTTGCACAGGAGCTGTCATGTCTAGTCTAGGCAAATACAGAAATGTCATCTGAGCTAATACAAATAAATCTATTAATTTCATATAAAAGTGTCCTGAACTATTTAGTGGTCTGTCAGTATTACACTGTATAGTTTTGCTTCTGCTCTCTGTTGTGTTCTTGAAGTTTGCAAATAAAGAGATCTATGCAAATTACTTCATTAATCTAAAATGGCTACTGGTTGTTACATTTAAATGGTACAGCTTACTTTGGACTGATTATAGCACTTGCTTATTTCAGGTATTTATTTCTCAGCTTTCTATGTCTTAGGTCCTCAAGGTGGATTTAGTACATGTTTGAATAAAGTTGTTTACTGTGTCAGTAGGACTGGGCTGTCCTAAGAACTGCCTGATGTCTACTCAGGTTCTGGCTGCCTTGGCCTTAAAGGCAAAGAGCAATCAATTTCCAGATGAACCTACATCCCCAACCAAATCTAGGAGCATATGATGTAACAATGGCTAGGTCAATTGTGGTTTGCCACAGAGTTCTTCATGGCCATGGCTGGCTTTGTCTGAATATATATACCTTTTATTTGTAACATTCCTAAATACTTTCCCACAATATATGGTCCTTCTGGATTGTTCAAAGTACTTTATTTCCATTCTCTCATCTATAACACCTGTGTAAGATACTATCTCCATTTTGCAAGTTGGGTTGGGGCTGAGAGTAACAGCTCAGATGTTATGTTTTGGGGAAAAACATTAAGGAGTGAGACATGGAAGTGTATAAAGATATACCTGGTGAGGAGAAGATAAGTTTTTCTCAATGTCTCGTAATATTAGAATCTAGAATCGTCCAGTGAAGCTGAATGGTGGGAGAATCAGTTTAAATGAAAAGGATGTACCAGTTCACACAACACATACAGTGGAACCTCTGCTTACAACCATAATCTGTTCTGGAGGTCCAGTCATAACTAGAAACATACATAACTAGAGGCACACTTTTCCATAGAAAGTAATGGAAAAGTGAATTGATCCGTTCTAGACTATGAAAAAGACCCCCTAAAACAGCAATTTAACACAGATTTTACTGTCCAACGAGACCATAGATCTATAAAATGAAGGCAGTAATCAATGTAGGTAAAGGTAAAGGGACCCCTGACCATTAGGTCCAGTCGTGACCGACTCTGGGGTTGCGGCGCTCATCTCGCTTTATGGCCAAGGGAGCCGGCGTACAGCTTCCGGGTCATGTGGCCAGCATGACTAAGCCGCTTCTGGCGAACCAGAGCAGTGCATGAAAATGCCGTTTACCTTCCCGCCGGAGCGGTACCTGTTTATCTACTTGCACTTTGACATGCTTTCAAACTGCTAGGTTGGCAGGAACAGGGACCGAGCAACGGGAGCTCACCCCATCATGGGGATTCGAACCGCCAACCTTCTGATCGGCAAGTCCTAGGCTCTGGTTTAACCCACAGCGCCACCCGCGTCCCAAATAATCAATGTACTTTACTATAAAATAAATAAGACAGCATTGTAGATGAAAAAAACTAACTTTTTTTTTTCTTACGTGCACTGAGGGTGGGTAGGCTTACCTGGCTACAAGCTGGGGGTGGGGCAAGGGTCAGTAAAGAGCTGATTCACTTCAGCCAGGGTCACTTTTTTTTCTTGCCCGGCCAGGTTCTCCTCTGGACTTCCTCAGGTTAGTTCCTCGGTGGGGTTTGGGGCTGCAGTGAACCCTGCTGTGCTTCTTGCAGGCAGCACCTCTTCCACAGCTTCAGGGGTGGGATGAGGGCCCTCTCCTGGGCAGCAGAAGCCTCAGCTCTGGGCTGCCAGGAAGGCCTCTGTTCTTATCTAGAGGAAAGTTCATAAGTCAAAGCACCTACTGAAGGTGGTAACTGGAATCATACGTAAGTAGAACCATATGTAAGTCGAGGTTCCAATGTAGTTAAATAATGAAATTCCCTACTGTGTACGATAAGGCTACCAGTGGCTACTTGTCGTGATGGCTATGTACTACCTCCAGCTGAGTACCAGTGACGGGAGAAGGCCATTGTCCTGCTGTGTTGCTTGTAGGCTTCCCATAGCCATATTGTCTGCCACTATGGAAAATGGGATACTGGACTAGGTAGGCCTCTGATCTCATCCAGCAGACCTGCTCTTGTGTTCTAGTGCTACCTAGTAAGCTAATGGCTATGGTGAGATTTGGACTTCCTGCTGCACACTTCTAGTTGCTACACTATATGAACCCGTACGATGATACTGGCATTTTTTCCAGAGTGTTCAGAGAGTGTCAGCAGTAAAACTGTCATTATAGGCTTTTGTTTGGTCACATACAACTTGGCTGCATTCCGAGATAACCCTGAACCATGATTTAACATTATGAGAACAAACCTTAGGCTTTCATGCTTCCTTCTCCCCTCTCTAGGGTGTCTATGAGAGCGAAAGCAAAAACTTGCATATTGCAGTGTAATGCACTATCCGAAGCATAGAGTGTGGTTACTCTTAACTATAGCTAATTGACACAAGTCAACTTCAAACCATAGTTTATGAAGCTGTCTTGTTTCACTTAACCATAGTTAAGATTAACCACAGCTTCTCCAGGTATGGATAACATGGCAACATATGAACAATTTAAACCAAAAGCAAAAGCTTCTGGACTTGTGACTGTAGTGTGTTGGGGACAGTGCGAACCCAAGGGTAGCTCAGCAACAAAATGCTAAATACTATTTAGGGCAGGGCTGCTAACTTCCAGATGTTGTTGAACTCTAGTTCTCATCAGCTTTAGCAAGCATAGCCAGGAGATATTTGAAAATCTAAATACCCATTTCACTGAAGAAAAGCTGGCAATGTTCAGAACCACCCTGCCTCCCAAACAGGTAAAAATCTACATGTGCTCCAGAACAAACAAAACACGTAGAAAAGCAGGCAGCTCTCTCCCAAAGCAGCCAAGCCCCAGATGGGGAAAAAAAACCTTATAAATTTGAGGGAAAGGGGCCTTGGTGGGCATCAAGCAGACATCCATGGGCGTCTTGGGGTCCGTGGGTACTATGTAGGGGGTCTTAGTTGTATGTGTTAAAATATTTTATGCTGCATTTTCTCACTGGCCTTGGGCAAATTATCACAACCTTGATTCCCTATATGAAAGTAAGATGACTAGGGCAAATGCCGTGTGTAGTGCAAATCCCTTATTTGCCAAAGTTTTTTTATCTGACCTTTCTGCAGCTAGTAACAGAAATGAGATAACAAGAATATATTAATAGCCTAGCCCATAGCACTCTGCTGATTTATTAAAACAAACAAACCTGTAAGCCACCCAACAGAGCAACTATGATTTCAGCAGCAGTAAATATGCCACATGGCAGCCATAAATGCTCACTGAAACTGATGTCTTGCCCTGTACCTAAAAACAGAAAGGGTGGGTGACAAGCAATCCTGCCAAGGCAGCCTGTTTCAAAGCTCTGGTAGGCCGTCTCCAGCATCACCATCTGCAGCGCTGCCAATGGAGCAGAGCCCCAACCGTGGAGCTTAATGTATGGGTGAGCTCATACAGGCAAATGCATCCTTCAGATACTCTGGTCTCAAACAATTAGGACCTAAAAGGGAGAAACCATAACTAATTGAATCCCAGGTAAATGTGCATAATGTGTTTGTGTATTGGTATCCTGTAGTAATAATCAACTGTTGAATAAGAGAAGGGTGGCTCACTCTGGCCAAAAGTCTAAACTTTTGCTTTGGGGATGACTCTCCCCCTGCCACATCCTTCCGTCAGCTTCATCTGCCCCCCCCCCCATGTACATGCACTTGAGCTGCAGGTTCCCCACCTCTGCTCGCGACATAAAAGTTGCTATAGTTATCCTCTGAATCATAAATTACTATTCCCCTAGGGTTTGAACTGTATCGCCAACAGGTGACTCCTCTGGGTAATGATTGTTTTTAAAAAGAAAATTGCACTACTGTAATGTATTAGCGCTCTGCAGAATGCAAATATTTAAATGTTACACAGTGTCATACATTCAACATTGATGTACGCTCATGACTAGTAAACAATGCCGCAATTTAGTAGATAGCCAAGTTTATATATAGCCAGCTGTAAAAATACTCTTAATAAATGCATTAAGCAAATAATTGCTTGTTGGCAGGTGTTAGTGCCGCTTGACATCCATTTTTGTTATTTTCTTGTGCTTCTTTTTTCATAAATGTTGTGAAAAACATGATACCTGTGGTAACTTGAAAATCTCTAGCATAGTAAAGATATCCACATAGCAAGCTAGTCAACAGTTTCCATGGAAATACTATCCTAAAGTTTTAGATCGTGATGAAACACTGTGTTTTGCAATTAAGGTTTTTGATTTAAGTTGGTTATTTGTACTTTGTGTCTGATAGAGTAGCTTTAAGAATACCACTACACCCATGGGTATCCACAGCAAACCCTATGTATGCCAGTATAGAGCTTATTGGAAGTATGTTGGGGAAAGGGCAAGATACAAATTTAGGTCATTAGTCTTAAAGTGCTCAACAAGGCAAAACTCTTGTCAATGACTTCAGTGATGTTCTGTGAAGATAAGGTTTCAGTCTCAAAATAACCATTCTAAGAACTTAATAGGAAGAAACATGTTTAAGACAATATCATTCTGGACAGCATCAGTAAAACACAGCACCCTTTTTGCAAAATAGTACGAGTGGTGAAGTGATGCACAGGAAGTTGAGTCCTAGCAAGAGGAAATGATCAGTCTCTGCTGTTTTGGTTGTCTAGTGTGCCGACCACAGTGCCATGTGACACAATCATGATTTTTAAAATTGGTTATTGTACAAATTAGTACCCTACTTCATTGTAAGAAACTTTTGAAACTTGGTGTACACCAAGATAAAACATGATAACATACCAAGTGACATATTGATAATGGGGCCATTGTTCTCTGGCATCTTCAAACATCCAGCTGTCACTGGATCAGGCAGGTGCAAATGCACAGGTCAATATTCTAATTCTATGCAATCTGTTAAGGCACACAAACTCATCTATGGTAAGCTATTGGAAGGCTTCGAATAAGGAAAAGCTGGTTGTGCCAGTAAGCTAAAGCACACTCTACTTTGCTGCCATCACATGATTGGTGAAGATGACTTCTTAGGTTGATATTTTTTTAAGGTCACTTGGCTAGAATTATTCAATATTTAGCAGCCATATACAGTGCTATTTTTCTAGAAAAGGAGGTGCTGGAGCTCACTATAAACTTCTCTTAGAATGGCAATGGCTCCTACCTGAGAGGTGCCAGAGCTGAAAAAAAAGCCCTGGCCATACATATTGCGAAGACCTGTATACTAAACAATTTTTCCTGAAAGTTCTTTGTTCCACAACTCTGGCATTGCCATTCTTTTTAAGATGGTGAAATAATCTCTGTGAGACAGAACTCAGAACTTTTATAGTGATAATTCAAATGACCTTATTGTAATTAAGTTAATTTTACAGTATTAAAAAATATGTGATGATTACATATGTTCTGTGAATATTTTTCCAGGCTGCTTAATTGAATGTCTCTTTCAATAGTGCATTTGTAGGTTGTGATAGTTCAATGTTGTGTTCTGGTTGTATCACTCTCTGTTAGGATTGTAAGAAGGACTAGGAGTATGAAGATGGCTTTATGCTCTCTCTCCTCCTATTCTGTTATTAGTTACCCATATTCACTCCAAGTGATGCAGTTGAAAAGTTAAGTGTGGCAGCTGAATCAGAGGTTGTTGTTATATTTATACCCCATCTGGCTGGGTTTCCCCAGCCACTCTGGGTGGCTTGCAGCATATCTAAAAACATAATAAAAACATCAAACATGTTTTTATTAAAATAAAAACTCTTTAAAATACTGCTCTTTAAAATACTGCTAGTGCATAGATCCTATGGAGGAAGCCAAAACACCTTGGTTTTGTGTCACAGGATATTTTTGGGACATTTGTGTAGAGCACTCCTTGCCTGCTTTGGGACTTGGGGAAGGAGAACTGTAAAAGACAACCAAGAAGTGGAAACTTTGTCTGCAGCATGGTGGGTACAGCTGCCGCTTGTCCGGTAATAACTCATCTGCATCAGGTTATGCAAAAACAGGTGGGGTCTGTTATGGGTCTGTTACGTCACTAGTTTTAAGCTAAGGTTGCCAAAGAAACTGCTCCCCTGAGATCTACCATGTTCTTTGCTGGGCAGGAGGAGCTAGGCCTCTCCCACTGCTTAACAGGGAGCAAATCCTTCTGAGCTTGATAAAGTGGAATGCTGAGTAATGCATGTACTGTAATCTTTATTATTATTATTATTATTATTATTATTATTTATCATGTACTGTATCTTTTGTAAGTTGCTTTGAGAGTTTGTTTAGCCAAAAAGCAGCTACTGTATTAATGTATCTTTGTCCATGAGGCTGGTACCTCTTACCCATAGCTGTCAATTTTCAGATTTGAAAATAAGGGATCAGCAGCCTCACCTGTCCCGGGGACCGTCTACAGGATATCTAACAGTCTGGGAAAGCAGCGGGAAACTGCGCTGTAATAAGGGAATTTCCCGCAAAAAAAGGGAAGGTTGACAGCTATGCTCTTACCTCTTTTGACAACCCCCTCCCCATAATTAGCTTCTGTATTTGAGGGGCAGGGAGTTCACTGTTTAAATCCCTATATTGATTGAGTTTGCCCATTATGGCAGATCAAATCTAGTACTGGTGTTTTTGGCAAGTGAACGGGACAGAAATGTGTGGTACCTGTTCTTCCTTGGGGAGGAAAGGGGTATATAACTGGTATTCCAACTGCCCAGAGTAGCTGGGGCAACCTAGTCAGATGGGTGGCATATAAATAATAAAATTATTGTTGTTATTATTACTGTCACAGGAGGAAGTGGATGGGTTGAATAATCTCATTGTGTTTCCTCTCTACCCTTTCTTTTTTTGTTGTTCACTGTTTGCTTTCAAACCGTTGTCTAGGATATTTCCAAGGAAGTTTGAACATGTAAGAATTACCAGACAGAATTACCTCTCAGACAGCACTGCTGAACACACACACTAATCAGCAAAAAATGAATGGGGATTTTTATACACTTTGCACCAGTACTAACCATTCTATGAAGAGGTTTGACACAGGCCTATTTGGACTAACTACTATGCTCTCTGCAGAACAGCTACTGCTTATTGGGCTCATGCTTAGCTAAGGATGGTAACTAAGAAAAGGTGCTTCTGGTCTGGTTGCCTGGGCTTAAGACTACACAAAATGAAGAATGATCAGGAGTAAAGTTAACATTAAAAAAAAAAAATATTGCTTCTATGGGGAGAAACTTTTCTTGCAGAAATTTCAGTTATGCTGAGTCACTTTATTTCTGCTCTTTGAAAATGGCCAAAGATTTATTCATACTTACAATTCAGTTTAAAATTTCAAAAAAAATATCTCAGGTGCTTAATAAAAGCACTGTAAAATACAACAGGTCAACTTGCCAGTGCAAGGGCCTAGCTGTCTTTCTCTCTTGGTAGCTGCGTGTTGGCTGGCTGCAAGTGGACCACGTCTGAGTGGCAGCTGGATCCAGCAGACCAACAGAAATATTGTGCAGTGTGTGCTGCTCTGTTGTCTTTGGGTTTAATAGAAGATTGTTCTGCTATACAGAATCTTCTCTTCTCAATGGAAAAGCAATGTCACATGGGATGACTGTTTACATCCACTGAAATTTGAACATGAAACGGAGTGGAGGAGTGAATAGATAGCTCCTTAAAACATATTCCAGTGTTTGGAGTATGGCTGGGCTGCTGTATTATTAAACCACTACTCATAACTTCCTGTTTCCATAACTTCAAGATCTATGACCAGTTGGAACAGGTGGGGAAGTTATTTAAATATCCTACATACATTCTATCTTGCATGAAAATAGGATGTTAAGTATCATAGACTATCAGAAATATAGTCAATACCAGGGTTCATCAACCTTTCTGAGCCAGCTGGCACATTTTGAATTTTGAGAAAGTGCTGTTGGCGCCAATTACAAAATAGCTGCAGTGGGTATAACACTTCTGTTTGGAATGGAAGGATTGGTCCAGTCCTAGCATCCAGTGAAATGTGGACATGTTTGATGGGACATGTTCAGTGTACAAGAAGCTGAGCCAAGTGCAAACGCAAACTGAGCAGGAAGAAGAACTAACCATTTCTTATGTATTATTATTTTCTGAGGCCTTTCGCGGGTGGGTTCATCTATTGCCACAGGTGCCATGTTGGTGACTCTTAATACTGTTACTTTAAAATATGTGTAAACTTGCTGGAAAACAAAATGGTGGTGGTGCTAAACAGTTTTGTATCTAGCAAAACACCCCTCTCTCCAAGTTACGGTACATTTCATTGCTCCTTTGTGGAAAGGCGTGAAATATATTTGTAAGGCGGTAGTTGGAGAGAAAAGAGAAGAGATCCATGTTGCCAAGCAAGCCCCAGATTGACATTTCCCCTCATGATCTACTCCCTACTAGTTAGGGGGGATTGAATGTTGACAGAGAAGCGCACTGCATTACAGTGGTACCTCGGGTTAAGTATTTAATTCGTTCCGGAGGTCCGTTCTTAACCTGAAACTGTTCTTAACCTGAAGCACCACTTTAGCTAATGGGACCTCCTGCTGCCGCCGCGCCACTGGAGCACGATTTCTGTTCTCATCCTGAAGCAAAGTTCTTAACCCAAGGTACTATTTCTGGGTTAGCGGAGTCTGTAACCTGAAGCGTATGTAACCCGAGGTACCACTGTACTTCCAATGTGATATGCTTTCAGTTGGTCATCTCCTTTCTGTCCCAGCTATCCACATGGAGTTTTACATAATGAGAATCAAACTAGGGTGAAAGTATTGCACTGAGCCCTGGCAGGCAATGAAATAAAATAGCTCCCTAGACAGGATTGCTTGCCCTGTTGGCTGTGCAGTGGAAACGCATCCCCTCTTATTTTCCCCTCATCCCAATTCAGAGTAAGAGCAATGGGAGAAGCTCACTTTCCATCAGAAATTCACCACATAGCCAAATCCGGCTATATGGTGGAAGGGTGTACATATATAACAAATAATAATGTAACTGGAAACTATAAATATATGGTGCCACCACAGCGTATCAGGTATGTGAAGTGGTGTAAAGAGATCACTGTTAGGATTTTCCTCCCAGGCCTGTTTGCACCTCTTGAAAGCCTACATTCCATGATAAGCTTTCACAACTGGATAAATAGATTGGGTCTCCCTGCAGTTACAGAAGCCTAGTGCAGCTGCTGGTATAGTCTCCATCCACTTGCCAGCTCCAAACACGGAGCTGAGGTGGCCATGGTTTTGCATTTTTCTGCAGTGGCATTTGGCAGTGTCTTGGAATTGTGATTTTGGCACAGGATTCTCCAACTTGACCTCCAGCCCTAGGGCTCTTCCCTAGGGCTGCCATTTGTCTGGATTTTTCTGGACATTACCAGGATTTCAAATACAGGAGGGATTTCGGAAAGGCGGTGCCAACAACTTTCAGTGTGCCCTGGTTTTTACTTTTTTGAAATATGGCAGCCCTAGTCTTCCCTGTAGCTGAACTGTGCTTTTGAGCACTGCACAACTGAGAGGACAGTGTCCCTCCCCTGCCTGGTTTCAAACTGGAAGCTTGGGACCCCTAATCGCTCTCCCCCAAAAGCAATTAAAATGCTCTGTGGAAAGTGGAATTGTGAATTACTGATGGTCAGCCTCTGAACCATCTTTGGGGCAGAAGAATATTTTAGTGTAAATTATTTTGTGTATATTATTCAATTCATGCACCCCACCTTTTCCCAGGAGCCCAGTGTGGCTAACTATAATAGTCCAGCATTCAAGAAAGTAGAAGCACAGTGCAAAACTTAACATTAATAATAATGTTACCTTATACAAATGGTGTCACTTCATTTTGCTCCAGAGACCTACTAGAACAAATTAGTCTTAAGGTGCCACTGTGCAAGGGACAATCTGATCTCTACAGAACAGGGTGCGCCCAACTGAGGAATTGCTGTCTCTTGTGAACAAAATTTCACAGGCAGGGCCTTCCCTACAGATCACAAACCATGGCTTGGCTGGTACTGGGAAGATGCTCTTTCAGCTACTTGTATCCTAAGCTATTGAGCTGGGTGTAATAGTACAAGCACCTTGAATTGGATCTGACAGTTATATTGTCATATGCTGAATTAAGTCTCTTTTTGACACTGTATGTTTGTGTGTGTGTGTGTGTATTTAGAATCTATCATATTATTGTGATTGTAATTTGTTTTAAACTGTTTTTAATGTTGTGTTTTAAATTGTTGCGACCCGTCCTGAGACCATATGGGTAATCCAATCAATCATAATCATATATTAAGTAGATGACCTAACCTAGTCATCAGATGTACTCTAAGGATGCTATGGGAATAAAATTTTGAATCTGGTACTCCTTGCTAGATGACCAGAACATATTTGAAACAGGCAAGCATCAAGGTTAGAATTATTTATTCCAAATGTATCCATTTAGACTGATGGATGGTGGAGTCAGATTCCTGAAAGTCATTAATAGGAAGCTATACAAAAGGTAGCAGCTGGAATTGGGTGGCTTCAGGAATGTTTGCTCAATAAAACTCGTACTGTTCTGCCAGAAAAGGATGAATATTAAGTCATTGAGCACATAATAAACTCTGCACTGCCTGTATACACTAAGATCTCTCAAAAAACTACTTTATCAGAACAAATTGCTTGTCAATGTTGGTTTACTTAAAACACCTTTTTAAAAAATCTGGCATTTCTAGCACAACTAGTGTCCATGACCTTTAGTGGCCTTAGATTAACTAGTTGAGAATTTGAAACACTCTGACTTATTAATTACCAAGGTAATGAAAGGGAGGAGAGGAATTACAAATGAGAGGCCACTGAAGACTCTTTAAAAACAGCTTATGTTAAAACAATTAGTTATTACACATGTTTGCATCTATGCCAATATGAATAGTTAAGATCTGCATTTGTAAAGTGCCAACCCAAAAGAGGGTTTTTGTTTTGTTTTGTCTTTAGACTGTCAGGAATGATCAATTGCAGCATTTGGGAACAATTCCAATTGCAGTCAGGCTGCAGTACAGCAACTCCCTGATCTGAAAGCTGTGATTAATATGTGAAGTTCCTGCATTAGTGGAATCCTCCTTTTATTTTACATTCACTTTGAGCACCCCTCCATGCGCACATCCCCTCTGAAGTGAATATGAAAACCTCTGGTCGCAGGGCATCCTCTTGGAACTCTGGATTGAACTACAGTCTGTTGTGTGAACTGAACAAATTCTATATTTTCTTTCATTTCTGGACTTATTTGGAGAGCAAAAAAAAAAAACTTATTTCCAGTTCAACACCTCAGGGGTTTGCTTCAATCATTCTTGAGAGTCAGCTTTGGTTTCTGTGCATAGTTCGAGATCATTATTTCTAGCATGACCTACTAAGAGGTATCCACTTCCTCTTTTTAGACTCTAAAGCATTAGTAGTTATATCATTAAAAGCAAGAATCTCTGGCATTTTTGTAAACTTAGTAATAACAGGACTGAGCTGAGTGATGCCACTCGACTGGATCATAACAGATTTCTTATGAAAAACAATTTTAAGCATTTGAAAGGTATCTTCATTTTGTATATTGCACTATTTTACAGAACTCATCAACGGAGACAATTGGACATTTTATTCTCGCATGAGACCAGTGCAGTTTTTTGACAGCTACTGCAATTTTTATATTTCAGATTCCATCATAATATTTAACATACAGTACTGCCAAAGAGACTTTTACAGTCATAACAAAAATAGAAGGGACTAATTGCAAAAAATAAAATCCTCACCAGAAGCCATAATCTTTTGTTTAATAACTTTTTGTTTTGCTGCTATTTAATATTTATCATGCATATATAACATATTTCCAATATGACCTTTCTGATATTTCTGTGTTGGACATTCAGTAAATTTAAAGATGCATAGTTCTGACTCTCTAAAGATCTTTCAAAATGTTCTGCTACTATTTTGGCGGGGGGGGGATTTCTTGTATGTTTTATACGCTAATCTTCTGTGCCAAGTTGCTTGTTCCCACATATTGATTGATGGTAACTGTTGGGTTTTCTATTAATTAGCAATCAATATTCCAGCTGCAGCTAATATTTCCTACCATCTTTATTTTATTTTTTTCAATTTATCATTTCAGTTTCTCCAACAATGTAACCACACAGTTTAGTTTTCATTTGTGTGCTGTAATTTCATTCATCTTTATAACTTCATAACTTCTGAAATATTCACTTCTTTGAAGTCACACCGAATATACTTAAAATCTGCCTGGTCTGACACATTGCCAGCATAATGCAGTAGAAAGTTTATTTTTAAAAATAGTAGCCTACAAGGAGTGAGATACCATGCATTTAACATTTTATGGAAGTTTTTTTTCCTTTTGCTGCAGTATCACATAAAATCTTTGGCTGCCATTGCATATGAAAGACCATTTCTAATTGGTTATTAGAATTTTAAACATTTACCCACTTGATCCTGAAACAAACTTTTGTTTCTTGGAATTCCAATAATATATTAATTTTTTGAAAGCCCAAATTCAGAAAGGTCTGTTTACTAAATAATATTTCACATTTTATAAATGATCTAAAACTAGTTTGAAGGCTAATTGCTAGTACTTGCACAAGCTGGTGGCATCTTAATTTTGTTACAGAGAAAAATACAGCAAGTTTTGGTTGCCAAATCAAGATTTTGCCAAAATATGTAGCGTACAGAGACTTGACAGACCCATATCAAACTTTACTTGGCAGCTGAAAAACTAACAACCTTTGACACAGGAGAGCTTGCAAATGCCCTGTGTATGACTTCACTTTCACCACATTCTTTGAGCCTGAATGCTTGTGAAATCAGATGTGTATTTAAATCTTTTCACTTGGTGTGCCCAGGAGAGGAAGAACAAAGCACACAGGGTCAACTTGTAGTAATCCCACATTTATCATAACACTATTGTAGTGGCTTATGGGGGATGGGTTAACTGTTCTCTAGCAGTTTGAAAATACAAGTCAAACACACCAGCTACTGGTCTTCTGCTAAACTCTGTTCACAGCTAGTTTTAAACACTATGTATTGAGCTAGTTGATATGTTTAGCTGTTTTGATCTATGTTCTCACTGCACTATAGCAACATCAACTGGGGAAAATTTCAGGAGGATGATCGCTATGGATGATTCTCCATAGGCTCAGCAGTTCAAACCTGATGGTTCTGTGTAAAACAGATTGGATTCTAAGCATATGTAGGAAACAGTGATATGGTTATTAGTTTCATTTACAAAAAATAATGGTCAATTACTCTTTTTTAAACCCTTTAAATTAAATATCCTGATTATATGCAATTTTGCTTCAGGGAATAGTTGTTGCCTAGGAATTGTCATACAGAATCTGAGATCTGACTGTAAACAGTGACATTTATTTTCATGCCTACATAAGTGTGTTTAATGTGCTACATTAAACATGCCGTAGAAAACAGAACACTTTTTTTTGTGTACAGCAAAGATGACTAATTCATACTAGGTCCTGCTAGATAAGTTCTACACAGAATGGACCATGCAAACAAGCTCATGGTCCCCCATATATAAAGAAGTTTTGAGAACAGAATCCTGTCTATTTTCTTTCATGAATATGCATAGGTATGCAGTTCTCCCTCTCATTTTATTTAAGCTAATGCATCTCACAGCATTCATGTACAATTGTTCACACAAGGGAGGGGCAAGAGGAAGACTGTCAAGGTGCATTATAGACTGTCCAATAATATCAGATCCAGTATACTCAAGCAAATGTGTCCTAACAGAATAGTATGAAGGCTTAAAAAAAATATTCCTCCTTTTCTGCTAGGATTGCTAATGAGTACTTTTCATGTGAACGAGGTAACACAGCTGGAAATGACATTATTGGATAGCATCTTCCCCAAGGATTGTGAACAGATAATATTTAGTACAACAGGAACAATTTTGCTATTTAGCATTTCTGTGGCACTAATGCCCATCCATCATTGGTAGCGCAATTTTCATACAAATATAGGGAGGAGTGTGCTGGCTGGCTGGCTGGCTCTGGTAACTTGTGTATGGAACGGAGATTCCATTTGCTGTATTATTCCAAGTTGTGGCTAATTTCCTTCCATTTCACATGATGACTGCTTCCCTACAGTTGGCTATAGCACTCAGAATATAGTCCTCAACCTTTTCAAACTCAGGAACCATATTTAACCCAAACATGCATCTAGGGGCACAACTCTTAATTTTTACCATATATGTGTATGGTGGTTACTGTAACACACCTTAGACTTTGACCAACCTGCCAACTGAAGATCAATTAAATTATTCTTCAATAGCTAAACTATAGTGGTACCTTGGTTTATGAACTTAATCCGTTCCGGAAGTCCGTTCTTAAATCAAAACCATTCTTAAAACAAGGTGCGCTTTCCCTAAAGAGGCCTCCCACTGCCGGTGCCCTTCCACTGTTCGGCTTCTGTTCTTAGAGCGAGGTAAAGTTCTCAAACCGGGACATACTTCCAGTTTTGTGGAGTTCATAAACCAAATCGTTCGTAAACAGGACTGTTCTTAAACCGAGGCACCACTGTATTTAGAAGACAAGGTGCTTGCCATCATCTGTGTGACAGGTAATATTCTGCAGGCAGTGCAGTATAGTTTCAACCGCATGACATTCCAAGGAAGAAGATGCTCCTCTCATGTCTTCAGCTACCTTGCACTGATTGATAGATGTGTCAGAATTGTACCAATGAATAAAAGTTTCCTAATCCAGCAGTTTGGATTGAAGGTGTTTCTGGCGATAGTGACTTTGAATAGGTGTTGTGATTTGGAAACATAAATTTAAAATAGATTTTTCTCTTGGAAAATATGTATTAAAACATAAGCTGAAACTTAAAATGTAAACAATTATAAACATTGCAAGGCTAGTATTTTTCTGGGTAATTTGTTCCCATGGGGAAAGGTTTGATACCTGTCAAGACAGTTAGACATGTTAATTTTGGGTTTCATTAGCTTTACATATGCAAACTTTGGTGAATGCTGCCAAATAAGGGTGTGTGTGATTTTTTTAATGAAAAAAATATGCAGTTCTTATTCTTAAATGATTCCAAAATGTCTGTGCGTTGACTGTCCAACTACTTTACATGGAGTGAAAAACTTTCCATGCATAACAACAGTATAGTATTGCTAATGTTCCACAGGTAGCCAAGTAGGGCGAGTGATGTTTTCCCTAGCAATCACACCCCCTAAATGCATTCCTTTGAAAGTTGCATCATTTCTGATAGCAAGCTAAATTGGGGGGATTTGCACCATCCATTTTCCTTTGGACCAAATCAGTGAGACTGAGAGGGATCTCGTCAGGGCAGACCATGACGTCCGTACACACTGCCCAGGCTTGAACCCCAGGGAGGTCACTTTGGTGCTGCTAATGCAGTGGTTTGACCTCGTCCCCAGAGGCACACTACATTGTCTCTTGAAACAAACAGATGCTGACAACAACATTGGGAAGCAAAGAGCTCACATTCAAGCCTTAGCTATTGAATAATGCCACAGTGCAATTAAATATAGGCAGCTAAATATCAGTCAGTGCACAGGTACATTCTTGGTTTATGGTATATTCAAGTAGCATTTTACATTGCTTAATTGACCACTTAATCCTTATTTCTGAGCCTGGCTAGATTGTTGCTGTTTGCAAGAACGTAGTCTGCCGCTTCAGTCTTACGCTCAATTTCTGCTGGAACTGGGTTGCAAGAAAACAAATACAGGGGTTTATTTGACTACCTGTTTCACAGTATCGTGAGGTAATGTCAGCGGAGGAGGACGCTGCTTGGGCGCCTGGGGCAGCGTACCCAGGGGCGGGGCGAGCCGCTCATAGGGGTGGGGGGCACCGCAGGGCCTCCGGAGTCTGCCAGCCTCCTCCCACTCAGCCTTCCTATAGCTGGGGGGGGGGAGGCAGCAGGCGGACCGTTTGGGCAGCGTGGAGCCTGCACCCGCCCAAGCCACCACGTCTCTCCCAGGAGAGACGCGTGGCTCAGGCGTGCTGCAGGCCCCAGGGCGAGTGCCGCCCAGCATTTTGTCATCCCCTCAGTGGTGACGCCTGGGGCAGTCCGCACCCACCGCACTCTCCTTTCTCCGCCCCTGGGTAATGTGAATACTTAATAGCATCCAGCTAATTCCACCATGCCCTGGAACTGCCTTTCTGACTTTTTGTTGTTCGGTACCTCATATTTCACAGTGAGTTTCTGCTGGAAGTTGCTCTACTGTTCATTTGTTTTTTAAAAATTGCCTTACCACCTGTGAAGGTGTTTAATAGCAGTACAGGTCTGCCCTAGGAGTGTTAAGACAACCTAAAATAAATGCCTTGGAATAGACATTGCAATATAATATTCAACTGGTTTTAATGCATAGTTTGTTTCAAATTCATTGACAATTGTAATTCTTAAGGCTTGGTTTGGGGTTGGAATGATGTTTTAGCACCTGGGTAGCACACTTTGCTTTATAACTGCTGAAACTGCATATCATGTTGCTTTCTAGAGCTGGTATGCAATGTATTAAGGATGATTTGGAAGGATTTTGAGTATCTGTTTTCATATCTCAAACTTTGTGCCAGTTTTGTTGTGTGTGTCTTTTAAACCAGCTTGTGGCTTAAAACAGTCAAAAGCTACTTCCTGCATGAATGCATTGACTTTTCCAATACTCCCTCTTTTGTTTCTTTTGCAAACTTGAGTATATTAGATTTCTCTTTTGTCCAGGTGTCTAACAGAGGCAACCAGGCAGATTTCAACAAAACTGTTTGTTACCTTCTCAAACATCCCATGGCCACTGCTTCATCAGAAGAGTGTTGAGTGCCTTGACATCATTGCTCTTTGGATATGGCTATATACCCATGTGTATTCCACACATTATCCTATTGTGCCTTACAGTGGTACCTCTGGTTACGAACTTAATTCGTTCTGGAGGTCCGTTCTCAACTCGAAACCATTCTTAACCTGAGTCGCGCTTTCGCTAATGGGGACTCGCACTGCGTGCGCTCCTCTAATGTGCGATTTCCGTTCGCATCCTGGGGCAAAGTTCGCAACCAGGAGACCTACTTCCGGGTTTGCGGAGCTCGTAACCCGAAGCTTTCTCAAGGAGGACGGTTCGTAACCAGAGGTATTACTCTATTTCTTTAATTTTGCTCATTTGAATGTCAAAGGATCTTTTTAAACAGAGTAGTATAAAAACATGCCTTCCCATAGAAATATATTTGAACCCATGTTTTGTATGTTTAAGACTAAGAGAGCTTGTTAGGTTTCTGCTTTTGTTGGCCAGTGATGGTGGAATGCAGACTACCTGCCTCCACCTTTTTACACTGTTTATATTGGTTTTATGACTTTTACTGTGATGAGTTATTTACGGCCACATTGAACCACTGGATTGAGAGTGTTAAAATCCCACAAGCAGTAGTACTAGTGTGCCAAGGTGTCTAAGGGTGCGTAAATACGAACACAGCTTTAAGCCTTTTCTGGCTCCTTGGTTGCCTCCTTCTGGAGGTTGAAGATGGTGGGCAACCAGTTTCCAGCAAGAGCTGGCTTCGGTGATAATTGGCTGGCCTTCGTGCAAATCACAAAGCAACTTCTTGTTCCCCTGTCCTGTTTTTCAAATAGGAAGAAAACATGGTTTGTCTTTTTAAATAAAGAAAAACACGAATGTTTCTTCTGGTGCCTGGCATTGTTTCTCCCACCCATCCACCCCCTTTTCTTTTTTAAGCAGCAAACATGCTTGGATCAGCACTGGATTCAAGGCCATTTCATGGATGGCATGGAAGTAGAGGTTCAGGGTTTTTTGCTGGCCTTGATTGGCCGCCCCTCCTCTTCCTCGTGCAGTTGTTGGGCCGCTCTGGGAGCTTCAAATGTAGAGCAATCAAGGAACAGCAAATTATGGGAGGTGTTTGCTGTGTCCCTGCTTGGTAGAGTTTCTCAGGTCACTGCCACAGTGTTGTGGCTAAACAACTCCAACCCTTCCTCCAAAACATGGAGCTGAGGGGGAGGGCAGCTATCGCTGTGCATTTATTGAGATGATTTCACCCACCTCTGCAGCTCCAAGGTTGGGAGGAATGCTTGGGCTAATCATGCTCACCAGGAGTCTTGGCAAGTGAGTGAAAACATGGAACATTGCCTGGAACTCACTTGACAGATAACAGCCAGTTAGACCTTTCTATAAAGTGACTTTTTATGGCCTCCAGCATTCTTCAATGCGGTCTTACAATTCTTAACTAATCTGCTGCCCTCCCATCCACCCAATGTCCCAGAGCTGTGTTGTATTAAAAAAGTAAAAGAATCTCACCAGGCACCTGGATAAGAATTGTTAATTTTTTTTAATGCTCATAATGTAAAACTGCTCTGAGCAGGTATTCCCCTTTGACTTGGCTACTTGCATGTTGCTATATAGCAGGCACCCCCAAACTCAGCCCTCCAGATGTTTTGGGACTACAGCTCCCATCATCCCTAGCTAACAGGACCAGTGGTCAGGGATGATGGGAATTGTAGTCCCAAAACAGCTGGAGGGCCGAGTTTGGGGATGCCTGCTTCATAGCCTTCTAGTGCTCAGAAGGTAACCATCTTAATAGTGATTCACAGTAGCAGTTGCTTATATTAACAAATTATGTTTGACTGGAAATTATTAACTTATGGTATCATGCAACCACTATACTGTTGTATGTACCTGTACATCAGTACTGTACCTGATACTGTACTGTATCAGGGTATTAAAACTTAATGATTTCACTAATAGTGTGTGCGATAAAGGCAGCCATTTAGTAAGGTCATTAAGTAGTGTCTGTATCTTGTTGCAATCAGGTCCTTGTTCTGAAGGACTTGCTTGGCCAAAGTAAGAACAGGATGCTGGACTAGATACCCATTTGTTCTGATCCAGCAGGACTTTATGTTTTTATGCATTCTCCCAGTTTTCTTTTCTGTAAATGGGATTTTGTGCAGTTAAAAGTGCTATATAAAACTATTTAATAAACTAAACCACATTGGAGGTATTTAAGCAGAGGACAGATGGTCATCTAGCATGAATGCTCTAGTTGAGATTCCTGCACTTTAGGGGGTTGGACTAGATACCTTGGGACTCTACAATTCTATGAGTCCGATTGTATGATTCTAAACTGGAATAATGGGACTTTGTCAACCCAAGGATAAATGATTTTTGTGGCTTTGCCGGGTAGATACTTTTTAACTATTACCATAGGGGACCTGGCTAGGGTTACTTTTGGCTTGAATCTAAAGATCCACCAGTGGAAAAATAAGCTCTTTTGCTCATGCACAAGGAGATCATTTCTTCCCCACGCTAATTTCAATATATAGCATTGCTCTTTGCCGTGTTTCCTACTGCTCCAGAATGTCCTCTTAGACTGAGTGTTCTTTCGAGGTGAAAACAAGCTGCAGATGAGAGAGCCACCCCCTCTTTTCAGGCAGAAATGCTTCAAAATGTGCAAGCAGAACGTTTGATTCCACTTGCCTATATATTTAATACGCATAAATTATTTATGCAGAATTTAGTTGCTCTTACTTTTGATAGAAATTCATGCAGTCAGCTTAGATACAGGCAGTTGGCTGTTACCTGGAGGATAGTGGAAGGGGATAGGAAGAGACTTGACCTTCTCAAACAGCTTACAGGATCTTGGAAGGAGGAATTGGGGTTAGGGGAGGTATATGTGCCATGAAATGCAATTCCCCTTCATGTATTATTCAGGAATGTTTCAGGAGAAAGGAGAGGAGAAAGTATCTCCCTTTGCCACTTCCATTCTTGAGTGGCAACTCCCCTTGGCACTATTTCGCACAGCAAGGCAAGACTTGGTGTGAGGGGAAGGAAACGATACCAAAAATACCGTATTTTTCGCTCTATAAGACGCACCTAGTTTTTGGAGGAGGAAAACGAGAAAAAAAATATTCTGAATCTCAGAAGCCAAAACAGCAAGAGGGATCGCTGCGCGGTGAAAGCAGCAATCCCTCTTGCTGTTCTGGCTTCTGTAATAGCTGCGCAGCCTGCATTCACTCCATAAGACGCACACACATTTCCCCTTACTTTTTAGGAGGGAAAAGGTGAGTCTTATAGAGCAAAAAATACGGTAATACCTTTTCATTTCCTCTGATAAGCATGGACAGTACTACAATGATCCTGTTCCAAGCTGGGTGGAGACCTAACAAGAGCCCAGCAATGGGAATGCAGTTTGTTCTAAGCATCTTTTATTTTATTAAATTTCTCTACTGCCCTTCAAAATTAGTTTGTGGGGCAGCTTGCAAATGAGAGAAAAATATAAGTACAGTACAAAAGATACAACCAAAAGCATAAAAAACAGTAAAATTACATAAGCTTTCCAGATATAGAAGAGTTTGCAGCGTAATGTGCTAGGGCAGCCTAGAATAAACACCTTTCTGGTTCTTAACCATAAGAGTCAAGCATGCATTTTTTACACTGGCCAATGGATAAATTGCTATAGCAGGAGATTGTTGCTGCGCTTATGGGCATCTCATAGGCATCTGTGTTTCCACTGTGTGAAACAGGATGCTGTGCTAGATAGGCCTTTGGTGTGACCCAGCAGGGCTGCTTGTATGTTCATAAATGGGAACTCATATGTGCAAAAGGGCCAAGGTGGAAGTTTATGCAAGCGAGGTTCCTTATAGCAAACAATATTGCAAACAGTGGAAAATCAGGCACAAGTGTTGCAGGACTAGGGTAGGAAAATGATGAAGTGTACACCTGTGTGACCAAAATATTCTCAAAAAGCAGTAGTAGTTCACTGATTTGAGGGAAATTATAATTGCTCTGGAAAGCAAAACACCTGTCTTAAATGATAGCTGCTATTTATGTACACTGAAAAGGGCATATTAAATTAGTAGCACTGTGAATCTAGATCTTTTTTTCAAGTGTGTCTCAATATGCAAAAGTGGGTGAACACATTTTTTCTAATCCAGGGTCAAGTTGGGAAATGATAGGTGAATGCTAATTTGGGGGTCTAAATTGATCCTCTGTCTTCATAATGAAGGTCAGCAGATAACGTGAGCACATGAAGAATCTGCCATTTGTCTCTGGTAGATGTCTGCTAGACTTTCTGCTTCATTTCCTGTTGAATAGAGCTTGAATGAGTACTTTTGATTGCTTTATGTGTGAACCATGACTTGAAAGACCTTTTAAAAACTAATTAACCTGTTATGCTTTACTGGAGCTAACTTGTGAATATTGAGGGAGCCTCTCAGTGGTAGCTGCGCAGTTGAAAGCAAATTTGAAAGTTTACTGTAAAATACACATGTAGCTATTTTTCCCAATTGAATGTTTAATGCTGCCTTGCAAATAAGTCTGCAACATTTACTAGCATATACAATTTAACTATAGGACGCGGGTGGCGCTGTGGGTAAAACCTCAGTGCCTAGGACTTGCTGATTGCATGGTCGGCGGTTCGAATCCCCGCAGCGGGGTGCGCTCCCGTCGTTCGGTCCCAGCGCCTGCCAACCTAGCAGTTCGAAAGCACCCCCGGGTGCAAGTAGATAAATAGGGACCGCTTACTAGCGGGAAGGTAAACGGCGTTCCGTGTGCTGCCCTGGCTCGCCAGATGCAGCTTGTCACGCTGGCCACGTGACCCGGAAGTGTCTGTGGACAGCGCTGGCTCCCGGCCTATAGAGTGAGATGAGCGCACAACCCTAGAGTCTGTCAAGACTGGCCCGTACGGGCAGGGGTACCTTTACCGTTTTACAATTTAACTAGCCCACACTTAAGCATATTATATGTGGCCTTAAAAACTGCTTTACCCTCGACTGTCCACTTGTCTCAGTGGGATTCTTACTTGCCACAGGTGACTAGTCAGCTGGCTATTTACAAGCCTTATAAATGTGTATCATACGACTTTGGCATGAGCTGTTTCTCACGGAAGCTGAAGTGATGTAACATTTTTGCTTTCCTTGCTATTTTGAGGTATTTATCCAGATAGACAGCTCAGGCCCAGCTTCTCCAAGATGAGTGATACTTTAAAAAAGTAAGCATACCCTGCAATATTTCATCTAAAGCTTTGAACCTAATCCCCACAGACTCACTGTCAGGTGAGGGCTTAGACTTTTGGAGTCTGGATTATTCCATTTGTGTAACAGTTGGAAATGCATTGGATTGTTTTGAATGTTGATATTAACAAGAGCAGGTTTTTCTGGTGTTTTTAGAGAGGGTGGAATGGGAAGAAAACTTGGAACAGCTGAAGAATTAAGTAGCAATCATTACTATGCAAGTAACGAAGAGCTTTTTGGCGTTGATGGAGCTATAAATAAATAGAAGCAGCATTGAGTTGTTTAGGACAACGGAACAGATGATGTTTAATAAACTTTTTTCACTGTAGCATATGCAAAACACGTTCTGCCACGTCTCCCTGAATTGGCATAAAGGAAACTCACTTAGGATACCAGGTAAATGAATAAAAAGTGAGATTCAAGCTGCAGAAATTAGTAAGTGTTCAATAAACAGTAGAGATTGGGCAAAAAAAATCAGGATTGCTGATTTTCAGATTTGAGGGAATGGATCAAATTAAATTCTAATGATAGTGCATTTGCAACTTCTAGGACGGTGGCAGTTTGTAGGTAAATATAAACCTTCATAGCAGAATATATTTTGCCCTGTGTTGTATTCACTGCATTGCATTTCATAAGACCAAACTAAACGTTGGCAGTAAAGCACATCATTCAGGAGGACAGTTATTATAATTCCTGGAGGCTTAGTTTAAAATTTATACTCTTCCATCTATTCTATAAACTCCCATGCATTTTTCTTACTAACGCTCAATAATAACTTTTGAAACATATGTGTAGGGCAACAGAGAGAGTCATCTGTACTCCATATGAATTGTCTTTTTAAATGGCTGGAAATGTCTGTGTGTTCATAAACTAGAACTATGTACAAACATGGATGATACTTTGGCCACTGGAGGGCTCTCATATTTTTTTCCCCTTTTCGAGCATTGAATCCTGAATGAACAGATTGCTGCAGCACAGCTTCTATATACCACATACAGAACTTCAAATCTAAACTTTCTGTGCAAAGAGTGGATTGATTTAAATCAAGGTTCCCATTGCTTTAAATAATATTTCCTAAACTCTGCAAATTAGTTCATTAAACATGTTAATTCAGAACTAAAAAGAGTATTATTTATATTGTTTCCTTTTTACAGCAAGGTCTTGCATTTCAATCTTGTTGCCCTTTATACATCCTGCCTACTTTCCTTGTTTACCTTTAGAAATGTCTTAAAAATATCCTTTCATATGAGCTTCTTAATAAAGACCAAAGTTGCCATAATAGTTCGTGACATTAAGTGCGGGAATATAGGAACCAGAGCCCTGAACAAATTTTGTACTGTTTTCTTTCCTGTGTTGCTTCTCACAACAATAAAGAGCAGCAAACAAAAATGAAATCTCTGTGACTTATGTCAAAGTAAGGCCTGATCGAGACTGGGCAGACTTCAGAGTAGTGTGTAAACCTTTAGCTATTTGGCTTCTATCTCCATAGGAAACCTAATGCTAATACAAAGACCCAGGTAACTTTGTGGGTTTTGAACAAAATTATTTATGTTTGTTTGTTTACCTAGTTATTTGCAGATTTTTAATAGGTGAATGTACTACCTGCATATCACCAGCATCTTAACATTCTAACAATAATGTTAAGATCACTGCACACAACAGTCTTCTAGACACATTGACATTTTAAAAATATTTTTTTAACTTTTTCATGCAAAAAGTGCTCATTTTAATAAGTAAACATTTTAATTAATGAACACTGTAACCATTTCTGTGCATACTTTGAGTACTTCACCTTTTCTTAACTTAAAAGAAGCAGCTTTGAGGCATGTAAACGTAAAACTTTTTAAGATATTCAACGTCCAAATAAAAGTTTCTTGTTGCAAAGCTTACTAGGAATTTCCGCCTCCCTTTTGCACCTTCCCTTGGTTCCCCTTATGGCCACGTGGATCTTTGGGAAATGGAAGGATGCCGTTATTTATGAGTTGGATGAGCAGAAAGCAGATCTTGGGATAGAAAAGTTTCCACTTGATGCGCAAGAAATGTCAAAACGAGCATTATAAAGAGTAGTGAACGCATGGCCCTGCCAGCTATGAAGGAGTCAGGTGCTACCTTTAAGCAACTGCTGACACATATTACTCACCAGTAATGCTCGTAGAATCATAAAATTTGAGAATTGGGAAGGGACCCCAGGGTCATCTAGTCCAACCCATTCCTCTCACCACAGCAGATATAACAGCCAGTGGGTTACATGATACATGTAAGTCTTATTACAGCATCTACATCCACCTCCCTTACTTCCTCCCTCAAGTCTCCCCCACCAGGTCCTTTGTGAGCTATATGCAGTCCTTGTTCCTTAGTCTTGCTACCCTTTGCACCTTTGTTAGTGCCACATCTCTCTACAGTTGAGGGGAAGCCCAGAATTCAGCTTGCTGTTCACTGCCTTAAAGCATGTGGAAGAAAGGTGAGACAGGACATGTTAGAACTAATTTCTATGTATATGTCTAAAGTTCTCTTAGGGGAGGAAATAAAAAGTTTTTGTTGTGGGATAGGAATGTACCAGGTACATTTTGGGACAGGGATGTCTCTTGAAGCTGTGAAAGTAGGATTATTTTATTTTATGTATTGCATCAAATTTATATAGCACTCAAAGCTATCCTCAAAGTCCTGCTGGATAGGTACTGAACACTGTTCAGTTGCCCACCAACTCATTGTAGGACTGATGTTCAACTTTGAAAGGATCTCTTTCTCACACTATGTAGTGTGATCGTCTGGGTCCAGCAGGAAATGCTGGTGTTTTTCTTGAGTCACCTCCTCAGCTTAGTCTTCCTCTTGGTTAGAAGAAATGAACCTTGAGACTGCTATTGCCTTGATGGTGGCATTTGAAATGCACATGCACTGTTTTCTGTTACTGCTTCTTGCACCTCGGTGGTGATGGATTTTGGAATCTTGTGATACCTATGTGCAGTTATTCCAAGCTGCTTCTCTCCACTTGGCACCACAGAAGAAAAGCCAGAATGTGCACTGGACTCTTGCTGGGCATGTGGGCAATAGTGAGTTGATTGAAAGTTTGCTGAGTGTTTCCTCCCTCCAAGGGTTATAGTTCTGTACGGTAAGGAGTTTGAACTTCTTAGCCTTTTCAGTTTTACCTATATGCACATTCACTTTTTATCTTCTTCAGCATCTACTGTTTTATCCCTGTAGTTTTTCAAAAAGATTTCACATATAAGTGACTTGCAATTTAATAAGGTAGATTTGTGTATCATTACATATGCTTTCCTATATATCTCAGATTAGATGTTAGTAGGTAGTACTGTATTGTGGTCAACCTAAATTTCCCTCTGTAGGGCAGCAGCCGTGAGGTGGTCTGCCTTTTGAGGGGGGTTGTCGTGGAGGAGTGGGAATTCCTTAGAAAAAAGCACCAATGAAGGGTGTTTAACCATGAGGTCAGTATTTTTATGCTGCTGTTGCTGCATAGCTCTATAGTTTGCATGCATCTGGAATGGGCAAACAAACCATGATTAATAAGACATACTATGTTTCCAAATAATGACAAACCATCATTAGATGTGTCTGCTAGAAACAGACAAATCATAGTTAAGCTGTTGGACTGCTTCATACAATCAAACAAGCCATGATTAAGCAAAACAAACCGAAGTTTAGCACCCTCTGTTAACCAGAGTCACTCACTGTCCAAAGTTAGGACTACCATCTTCATAAGTTATTCCAGTCAGTTAGATCTGGCTATGTACTGATGTAGCTGAAAGTAAATAAATTTCATTTACAGTAAGGCAATGCTTCTTGAGTTGGTCCTTGGGAATAAGATGACATCATCGAGGGCAAACAAAGCTTCTAAGTAGGCAGATATTCTTGTTCCATTTTGCAGAGGTGTGCTAAAAATTGCTAAAGGGGATGCCTTTTTAAGCAGTTAATACTTCTTCTCTTCCCTTAGTTCATCAAAAATTCTATAAATCTACATAAATTTATTTATCTTATCCTATCCTATGCCATAGGGTTAGAGCAGCTAGCAGTGATTTTTGTAAACATTAATAGTCCTTTCTGTTACCTTAAGGCTGACAATCTCAGAATTTGCCTAATCAGAATACACAAAATTGCTGTTAAATAAAGCAGGAAAATTTAAGAGTATTATTTTGGTCTACTATAGCGTGGAATATAACGAAGTGACACAAAAATGTGAGACTTTAAACAGATGTGATGATTCAACATATCAAAGTGTTGGCTGCGCATTGGATTAACCTAAGGCTTTTATTAATTGAATTGGTACAAATAGGTTGCTCCTCTAACATGAGCCACGTCTAATTTTTCCTTTGCAATGTAAAACTATTCCCAAATAGAATTGTCTGGATTCTAATTGTACCATCTCTGAAATATTTGAGCAGATTAGTACAGAGCAGAAAGAGAACGTTTTCCTAATTGGTCTTAAGGGACCAGTTGATTAAAATGTACAACTACTTTGTAGCTCAACTATTTTTAGAACTTGGATGCCTTTATCTGATGTCCTTTTTGTAGACATGCCAAGAGGTTAATTGTGAACACTCGTGAAACAGTTTAATGAAATTCAAGCTAAGGATGCTTAACTGGCTGAAAAATGTTGTTGAGCCATAGTTGAGTGCCGGATACTTCTTAGCTGTATCTCAGTTCTCCTGCCTTCAAATTTTGGCACGGACCTTGGTGGATTGCTCAGGGCAAGTTACGTACACTCTGACTCCGCATAGGGATATTCCAGTTACCTGGACAACAGTGATGTGGCCAACAGTTGTAGCTTGGCTTTAGTACCTGCTTCACATGCACAAAGTCTGAGATACGATCTGTGGCACTTCCAGTTTAAAAGACGCCTTATAGAAAGGTTGGAAAGAATCGCCTGAAGTAGGCAATACCAGGCTAGATGAATTAAACAGTCTGAGCAGCATAATAATGCTCAGATACGTTTGCTGGCCCCTGTTCATGGACTGCCATTGTTTATGTCAATATGAAACAATGCACATCTTCCCAATTTCTCTTCAGCCATGCTTTGACCAGATAAAGTTCTTTTCACAGTGCAATGGAAAGCAATAACAGTAGGTGAAGCAGTATATCCTTCAGAATGGTAATGGAGTATCTCCTCTCTCTCATAATTTTGGCAGGACGTGGTAGTATAGAGAAGTCTGAAATATGAAGACAGGATGAGATTCTTCAGTTCTTCATAGAATTGTAGAGCTGGAAGGGTCATCTAGTCTTTCTCACTCTGATCCCAGCCTGCTTCTTTCATAACTTCTGAGAAGGTTTATAATCCCTAAGCACCCTTGCTTTCGGGGTTTTACATACCCAAACTTTTAAAAATGGATCACTTGAAAGTTTCCGGGGTCTTGACGGACTTGTTAATAAAAAAAGTTTCGATTTGCACATCAAAGCACACAACTCGTATTTCTGAAGTGGTGGGTGTGCCTGTTTTTGTGGCCAAGCTCTGTTAAGTAGAGTGTAACATTTGTCAGCTTTAGCAGATCCACAGCCTTTCTGCAGACCACCGAAAGGAACTCGCAGGCCACAGTTTTATGAACCTGTGATGTCTCTTGGAGCAATGTGAACCTAAAGACATGATTGCCACCCTTATCAGCTAGGCCCCGTAGCAGTCTTCCTCAACCTGGTGGAGACTGTGTGTTCAGCATGGTAGGCTCAGTTTGGTGGAACTCTTTCAGGATGACATCAGACAGGCCCCGTTGCTGTTGAACTTCTGTTTCAGCAGGCATTTTAAGTAAGTTTTCTGATTGATTTTAACTGATTTTATCTTAGAAACTACAGGTTAAGTGGTATATAAATTGCTGAAAGGAAGACATTGCAAAACATAATTCGCTGCAGATGCTCATCCACTCTCATTGGCCTCCCTTTTCCAGCTTTGTCTCTGTTCCACACAGGCTCTCATGTGCAAAAATATCATCCTCTGTGAAAACGGGAGTATGTGAGTCTCTCTGATACCATCTCTATTTCCTCTAATCCTCTTCCCCTCACCCCCCCCCAAAAAAAACTGGTGTGCTTCCTTAGGTGAAGAGTAACACCAGAATTTTAGCAATCTCCCTTTGCAGTGATTTTGTAGCTGTTTAACATTTTCTTTACTTTCATATAGACCAGTGCGATCAAGGGCAGAGAAATAGGTTTTGCACCTCTTCTGTCAGATTTCCTGTTGCCGGGGGGGGGGGGCGGTATCTCCCAAATCCTGTTAATTTTCAATAAAATAGCTACCGGTGTTGGCAAGGCTGGTGAAAATGAAGGTAGCAAGCATTCCAGGCAAGAAATGGGTGGAATGGCAGCAGTGTGATCTTGGCAAGGTTGATGCTTGTCAGTCCCATTTAAAGTGATATGTCTCTGGACAGGGCCTTGAAAGCTTTTGAACAAGCAGGTGTGCACCTAACACTTTCCCTGGGACAACCTGGAATAGCTATTCCAAGATGCTTGCATAGGCAGTCTGCTTCTGTTCCACCTGAAATTGCGTCCCCAAAGGCCACTTAATGAATTTGTTCATCTTTGAAATGCTGCAGGCTAGTTTTCAGAAAGAAAATGGAACATACACAGGGATCTATAATGTACTTTTTAATGTCTGGTGTTTTGTCATGTTCTTTTATATTCTGTTGGAAGCCGCTAAGAGTGGCTGGGGCAACCCAGTCAGATGGGCAGGATACAAGAAATTTATTATTATTATTATTATTATTATTATTATACTAGGAATAGGCCCTTAAGTAAGCACCTGCAGGGCTGAAAGCAAGTCGCTTGTTGGCAGGGCTCAAAGCAAGTCACACATTCTGGGTACTATTGGTATTCTCCTCTCTGTTGCACCCAAAAGTACTATTTATTCTTTTAGATTGTATCTTCAAAGCTTTTTCAAGTCATAATCTCAAACTTCTAAAGAGGCCCATGAAAACAATTTATTATCTGATAGAACCTGCTGACATCCAAACCTCAGTTATCAGAATTAACAAACAAACAAAATATTCCAATACCCAGTTGCACTTCTTTTAATTTAAACCCTCAGACTGGTTTTTTGGAACAATAATAGGTTTGCTTCGTGTTTGATCCCATTCTGGGATGAACAGTCCCACAACAATTACGAACTATTCTTGCCACAATGCAAGCATCAGCAGGACATGTCTGGTCATGTGCAGATCAGTTATGCATCTGACAGATAACTAACCCAGACTTGCCGTGCCTTAGTGCAGCGACTGTTTCAGATAGTGAAGCTATCCTAATTGAGAGGGGTGGGATGAGAGTTGAAACTGCTCTTCTAAGTAGATTTGGTTCTCATTTCAAGTAAAAATATTGTGTATTAAAATATTGTAAGCCACCTTGTGGTGGATAGCTTCAAAAAGCGGAGTATAAAACTTTTAAATTAATTAAACTTTAAGATAAACTATTTGTCCTTCTGACACTACACTTTGGAGCAATATTTAATTGATGCAGGAAGATTTTTTTAAATGCTTGTAATAAATGTGATTAAGGTTTTACCTACTAATTTTCACAATCTGTATTCATTCTGGTCCACCCTAGATGTTTGTGATATGCTCATATAGTATATTTTAATGCATACTGATACAGAATCTCTGCAGGTGTATCTTACTGTGTGTGGTTGTGTTCAAAACTGTGTGCCTGAATAGGCATATTTCCTACTAAACCATGACAAATACGAAAGAGACAGATCTGTCATAAGGGAATCTGCTCCTGTAACTTAGATAGGCTTCTTCCCGTAGGCTAGCCCAAACATCCGTCCCCCCTAGTGTACCATGTCTGGATAATAACAAAAAAAAAAACCCCCCACCAGGGTATGGTTCTGACTGCACCTGCAATTTCTACTCTCTTAAATCCAGTATTTAAACAACTATAATGCATGCATGTGTGCACATCCTTATTTCTCATCCCCAGATCTCAGTGGTATGATTTATAGGGATAGGTGTATGGGGATATGGAGGTATTTACTTCCCTGTCCCCGCAAACTGAGGCCCCATCTGGCCTGCCCTGCTGCCCGTCTGATTGGCAATAGGAACAGCTGAGGAGTGCACTGACCAGCTTGCTCCTCAGTGATTTTTGGCTTTATTGAATTGGGCAGCAGGGAGGAAGAGGCTGGGATGCAGGGAAAGTAGTTCAGGGCTGCATGTCACCAGTTGTCCATGTCGACCCAAAGCACAAGCTAAAACCAATAAGACATCCCTATAAAAACACATAAAACCAAATAGTACATAAATTCAAAGGATTCAAACACATAAAACAGGGTCCAGTCTTATGGGTCATGGAAGGCCTGAGCCAGAAACAGAAGTCTTTACAGGACATCTGAAACATCTGCTAGTTGCTGCTTCACATATTACTGTGTCCCATGGCATCCCATACGACATCCCATTGCTTAGACCAGGGCTTGTCAACCTGGTCCCTACCGCCCACTAGTGGGCGTTTCAGGATTCTAGGTGGGCGGTAGGGGGTTCTACGGCACAAGCTGAATCCTCCTTCCATCAAGCACTGGTGGGCGGTAGGGAAATTTTACCATCAAGAAAGATGCATTAGTGGGTTGTAGCTATAAAAAGGTTGACTACCCCTGGCTTAGACTGTACAGTGGTACCTTGGGTTACAGGCGCTTCAGGTTACACACTCCGCTAACCCAGAAATAGTACCTTGGGTTAAGAACTTTGCTTCAGGATGAGAACAGAAATCGCGCGGCAGTCAGAGGCCCCATTAGCTAAAGTGGTGCTTCAGGTTAAGAACAGTTTCAGATTAAGAATGGACCTCCGGAACGAATTAAGTTCTTAACCCAAGGTACCACTGTAGTCAGTAACACAAATCAGATGTGTTCTGTGCTCTACTTGCAAAACTGGTTGTTGATGTTGACAGAGATATATTGGGATGGAATAAAAACCTGAGCAAGGATTTCTTGTTAAAAGGGGAGTGGGTGGGTGCATTTGGGGGAGGGGAATCACAAGTTATCCTTGCAGCCATTACACTTGGAAGATGCACGAACTGGATAGAAGTGCTGCTCCAGCTTTTCCCCTCCTCCTCCTACCTCCATTATGGTCTGTAGTGAGGCTGTCCCTGACATTAACTGAGGACAGTAAGCCTGGGCCTTACATTTATTGATAGAATTGTAGAATTGGAAGGGACCCTGAGGGCCATTTAGTCCAACCCCCAGAAATGCAGAAATCTCAACTAAAGCATCCATGGCAGATGGCCATCCAACCTCTGCTTAAAAACCTCCAAGGAAGGAGAGTCCACCACCTTCCAAGGGAGTCCGTTCCACTGTTGAAAGTTCTTACTGATGTTTATTCGGAATCTCCTTTCTTGTAACTTGAATCCATTGGTATGGGTCCTACCCTCCAGAGCAGGAGAAAACGAGTTGGTTCCACTACTAGTAAATGGCTCGTGGAGTGCAGATGGCTTCCTCTTTAGCTTTCATAGTGCATTTTTAGGATTTATTTTTAGACTTTTGGATCTGTAGTAACATCCCAGCCTGTTTTAAGCTTTATGAATGGTGTGTCTAATCCCCTCCTCTAGGTTTGGATTCTTGCTGATGGTTCGGTTACTTATACAGTATAGTGTTGTTGGAAAAGCATTCTTGCTTCTAATTTACAAAGTATTTTTAAAGTCCTGGGGGCAGGGCATGTTGACAGGCCACTGTTTTGATACTAGCTGTCCCTGCTCTCTTAACTGGGCCTGCTTAGTGTGCCCCTGCACACACCCATTGCTCCAGCCCACATTTCTGGCCTGCTTACTGTTTCTGCCCAGCAAGTGATGCTTGTTGCAAAAATTAGGTATGCATACCAAAAGGTACAAAACATATATATATATCCCACTGCTGTTATGCTATCCTTTATTCCTATTCCACCACTGGGGTTTCAGGATTAGACATAATAGATAGGAAACAGACTATTAAGGTTGATAGTTTGAATCTACAAAGCAAGCACTTGCTTAGCTTGGCTTAGCCATTTTCTGCTTGTAGAAGTTGTCATAGTTCCTCTCTAATACTGCTGGGTGATTTTAATCCTCACTACTTTTGCACAGCAGGAAGTAGCTTCTAAAAATATTTTTAAGATTTCCATATGCTCTCAGTGATCATAGAAATATCTATACTGCCCCCAACCGTTCTTTCAACTTGAAAACATTTGTCTAACTGTCGTGTTTTGAAAAGATTTTGGCCGAATGTGTACTCTCTCACTTTCCTTGTAAATGAATTTGTTGTGCAAGGCACAACTTCTGGGTAGTATTTTAAAGAAATGTTTCTATTTTGTCAAGGGTCTCAACTGGTTGTTGACTATACCAGCTCAATATATTTATTCCAAATAGCTCTTAGCAGGGTTTTCTGTTTACAAAGCAAAGGTCTGGAAGTGGTTCTAGAGGTGTATATCTTGCAGTGTCTCAAACCATAATCCTATCCACATTTAATGGGGAACAAGTTCCATTGAACTTGGAAAGTTGTTTGTGACTAATAACAGGATCAAGCTATAGGTTCTGAATCTGTACTTTAATAGAAACAGCTTGTTACATGTACTATGAAGTCAGTTCCAGAAATTGGCCATTTGAGTTTATATTCAGGGTAAAATCAGGTTAACAACATTTTTTAATAAACAGCTAAAAATGCTTGTAACATTTTCAAGGAAGAAACTAAAGTAAACATGAAAATACTGGGATGTATCAGAGGAAAAAACTTGAGTAACTGTTCTTCTCCTTTTCAGTTCCTTTTATATAGGAAAGGTACCACCAAGGCCAAGAGGATGCCAGCATGGTTAATGAGCAGAGTCAAAGAAGCTATTAGACGCAAGAAGACTTCCTTTAGAAAATGGAAGTCTTGTCCAAATGAGGAGAACAAAAAGGACCTAAACTCTGGCAAAAAAAAAAGTGCAGGCAGAGTAAGGGGTGCTAAAGAAGAAATTGAGGAGCATATTGCTAAAAATATAAAGGCCAACAAAATATTTAAACCCATTAGTAGTACATGACTGGCTAGGTAGGCAATTTGGGTGACAAGGCATCCGAAGGTGTGCTAAAGGAGGAGAAGGAGATTGCAAAGAAGCTGAATGAACATTTTGCACCTGTCTTCATAGCAGAAGATATCGGGCAGATCCCTGTGCTTGAACTAACTTTCAGGAAGGGAGTCTGAGAAATTGGGGCAAATAGCGATGACAAGAGTTAACTAGGCAAAATCAAAACTGACAAATTGCCACAGCCAGATAGCATCCACCCAAAAGTTCTCGAAGAACTCAAATGTGGAATTGCTGATCACCTAAGAAAAAGATGTAACTTGTCCCTAAGATCAGCCTTCATACAAGAGGGCTGAAAAATGGCCAATTTTTAAAAAGCGATCAAGAGTTAGCTTATCAGCTTATCACCTGTCCCAAGAAATGTCCCAAGTTTGCTGATGACAGTAAAGTGTTAACGGTCGCTAACAAAAAAAAGATTGTGAAGAGCTCCAAAAGGACCTCTCCAAACTGAGTGAATGGGTAGTAAAACAGCAAATGCCCTTCATTGTAAACAAGTATGAAGTAATGCATGTAGAGGCAAAAAAATAATTTTAGTTACACAGACATGGGGTCTGAACTGGCAGCAAATGACCAGAAATGAGACCTTGGGGTCATAATGAATAGTCCAGTAAATATGCTGACCCAGTGTATAGCTGCTGTGAAAAAGGCAAATTCTAATTATATCTTGATTTTATTGTATTATATTTTTGTAAATCACTATGGGAGTTTGTTGTTGTTTTAACAATCAAGCAGTTTATAAATTTTGTGAAATAAATAAATTGCTATTTCCTGTTATTCACATTGTTTGATGATGATTTGACTATTCTGTTGTACAGTATTTGTGAAACTTTAACTCATGTCATTTAATAACAACATTTGGTTCTGTCTTCAGACTGAACACTTTAAAAAGGTTCAGTTTTGACACATTTTAGAACTTGAATTGCTTTATGTTCTGGAATATTTACTGCCTTTGTTTCATTTCAGAATGACCTTATTTAAAAATGTATGAGGCTATTTATAATTGACTCCATGGCAGTGATTAAAGAGGTGTGAATAATAGGTTATTGGACGTTGACAGCTCCTTGTTTGCTAGACTGCTGTTAGAACATTTATGCTGCTCAATCTTACCTCATTTATTCTAAGCTGATATCTGCATTTTGACATGTGCATAGTAAGTTTATGTATTCTTGGGAGGGGGTGAGTTTTGGGTTAGTGAATTACTAATATATCTTTTTAAATTAACATGGGCATTTCAGTGTCGGTTTACATTTATGTGTCTAATGATGCTGTGTTGTACATATTTATTATAATTATGCCCTTATCAGCTATTTAGTTAGTTGAGTGTAAATTTGAAGTTGCCCTCCAATTGTACTTGATCAGGATCTCTGTAATGGTTCTAGGGGTTGCTCGTGCGTAAACCGGTGCAAACACCTGGCTGGGTTGCCTGAGTGAACCTTTTCTGTCCGGACAGCCACTCACTCATGGCTGTCTCAATCGCTGGCAGAATCCGTCAATGGGCGTTTCTTAAACTTATTCCAGCAAAGAAGTTCTTTGACGCCTAGTCTCCTCCTACTTGCCTTCTGCGCAAGGAGGGCGTAGGCAGCGGAGGACCCCTACTCTCCCCGCTGGTCCCCAGCAAGGAGTCATGGGACCGCCTCGCCGCTTCCCCCATCTGCCCCCCTTCTCCACTGGTGCTACGCTGATTCTCTTCCCCAGAAGATGGGCTGCCTCTCCCAATCCCAGGACGCTCTCTGGAATCCCTCTGGATTTTGCTCTCTCCCTCCGGCACTGATGGCAGTTCCCTGACAATCTCTAAATGTGTAGTCGGTATTTTGGTATCTAAATAGTTTTATATGAATCTGTTTCTTTGGTTCTCTTTAACTCTGATCAAAATGAAAATCTTTATCCAGTTTCCAAAACAATGAAGAGGGAGGTTTTTTTAGAACAAACAAACAAAGCGTAAAATGCAATTTTCATTGCAGATCTAGTCATGAAGGGAGGAAGCTTTGAAAGAAATATGAGAATTCTAGGCAATACTTCTCTTGTGCTAGAATCTCAAAAGTGAAAGAACTCTTAAACTGGATTTTCCCCCCATCAGTGGTGTCTTTAAAGAAGACATGTTGAACACTGCATTTCTGCTCAATTGCTCATTATTTGTTTATTTAAATGCATTTTTAAGGGGTGGGGTCCCTTAATATGTGGTCTTTTAAAATGGATTATTAGATAGGCAGCTAGACTCATTCAACCCCCCTCAGAAGTCCATAATGCAATCTGAGGGAAATGCATGGTTTAGTGCTGGCATATAATAGTATGTGAAACTATACCTTTTGTGGAAAGACAGACAAGCATGAGACAAGAAGTCATAAACGCCCTGGTTTGTTTTTGTTTTTTGTACACCACCGCAACATTTTTGAATAATGGGTGGTTTATTTTTTTAAAAAAGTTTCTAGCCATAAGTCTTGAAATTAGTTCATCTTCCTTTTCTCATCTTCCAATTGTAAGTGTAAATTTTTATGCTAGTGTCTGAACAGCTATTAATATTCACACCACAATACCCAGCCAGATGCATTATTCCCTTTTTTTTTAAGGAATGAAATGTCATAAAAAAGGATGAAACAGCAACTCATAAAATTCTGATGGAAACTGGCAGGTTGCAACTCACCTATAAAATCTGAAAGGTGTGTGAGAAAGAAGAGAACATTATACCCCCAATGTGTAACATACAATAAAATATCTGTGTGGCATTACTGTTTGTGCCATGTGAAGGTCCTGGGAAGCGAGGATTATTTTCTTTACAAATTTATAATCCACAGTGACATAAAAATATAGCAAGGCAGAGTACAACATGCAATGTAACATCAGCAAAACATAAATAAATACAGATTGGTTTTATATACAGTGGTGCCTCGCAAGACGGAAAACTCACTAGACGAAAGGGTTTTCCGTTTTTTGAGCTGCTTCGCAAGACGAATTTCCCTATGGGCTTGCTTCGCAAGACGAAAACGTCTTGCAAGTTTGTTTCCTTTTTCTTAACACCGTTAATACAGTTGCGACTTGACTTTGAGGAGCAACTCATAGAACGCAGTGTACATAGTAGCCTTTTTTGAGGTTTTTAAAGACTTTGGTGATTTTTGAAGCTTTTCCAAAACTTCTTTGCAGCCATTTGGTAAGTTAAGCTTTTAAAACAGTTTTTGGGGGTGGTGGATTGTGGGGTTGGGAGTTTGGAATTCAAGGACTTGGTGTTGGGGGGTGGGGTGATGCAAGAATCTGGAAGCTTGTGGGTTTTTTTCCTGCATTTTTATGATTTTCTGTGACCATTGGGGCACTCTGCTGTTTTTTAAAAAAAAATTCTGGATTTGAATTTCTGTGTGCTGGGTGGCTGGGGGAACAGTTAGGGAGGGGTTTGCAAGAATCTGGAAGCTTGTGTTTTTTTTCTGCATTTTTATGATTTTCTGTGACCATTGGGCCACTCTGCTGTTTTTTAAAAAAAAATCTGGATTTGAATTTCTGTGTGCTGGGTGGCTGGGGGAACAGTTGGGGAGGGGTTTGCAAGAATCTGGAAGCTTGTGTTTTTTTTCTGCATTTTTATGATTTTCTGTGACCATTGGGCCACTCTGCTGTTTTTTAAAAAAAAATCTGGATTTGAATTTCTGTGTGCTGGGTGGCTGGGGGAACAGTTTGGGAGGGGTTTGCAAGAATCTGGAAGCTTGTGTGTTTTTTTTCTGCATTTTTATGATTTTCTGTGACCATTGGGCCACTCTGCTGTTTTTTTAAAAAAAATCTGGATTTGAATTTCTGTGTGCTGGGTGGCTGGGGGAACAGTTGGGGAGGGGTTTGCAAGAATCTGGAAGCTTGTGTGTTTTTTTTCTGCATTTTTATGATTTTCTGTGACCATTGGGCAACTCTGCTGTTTTTTAAAAAAAAATCTGGATTTGAATTTCTGTGTGCTGGGTGGCTGGGGGAACAGTTGGGGAGGGGTTTGCAAGAATCTGGAAGCTTGTTCTTTTTTCTGCATTTTTATGATTTTCTGTGACCATTGGGCAACTCTGCTGTTGTTTTTTTTTAAATTCTGGGTTTGAATTTTGAAATGCTCTTTACAGTATGTGTGACTTTAAAGAGCACTTAATAAACTCTTGTTGCACCAAATTTGGCTTTGTTTGGACTTTTTTTGACCATAGGAACGCATTCATTGATTTTCAATGCATTCCTATGGGATTTCGTGCTTCGCAAGACGAAAAATTCGCTAGACGAAAAAATTCGCAGAACGAATTAATTTCATCTTGCGAGGCACCACTGTATAACCAGTGTTCTTAGCTGTTTCGTACATGTGTTCTTTGACTACACCCATAGGAGCCAACTTTGTCCACCCCTAATAAAATATTTGAGGGCATTCTCCCCCAAGTTGATGTGCATTGCCATTCAAATAGTGTGTGTGCTGCAGGGCGAGGCTTACCTGCCCCCCCCAGTGTTTTATTAAAGTTGGCACCCCTGACTATACCTGAACATTGTAAATTCATACTTGGTGTGTCTGTACCAGATGTGGGAGTTTCAGGCACAGAGGTTGAATGTGGCCCTCCATGATCTGGCCCTTAAGACTTTCCCAGGCCCTACCCCTCACGAGTCCTACTTTTAGCCCTCCAGTGTTTTTGGCTGGCTGGAATGTGTCTTTGAACTCTAATAATCCCTGTTGCTTGCCTAGATGGGGGAGAGAAAGAGGTGTGTGTATAAACTAGCCCATTGCAAAAAAAGGCCTGCCCACATTTCCCTCTGGTCCCGCCCACTAAGGCATGTGGCCCTTTACCCTGTACAGGGACGAAATTAATCCGTTCCGCGAGTCTCTTCGTCTTGCGGTTTTTTCGTCTTGCGAAGCACGGCTATTAGCGGCTTCGCAGCTATTAACGGCTTAGCGGCTATTAACGGCTTAGCGGCTTTAAGAAAAAGGAAACAAACTCGCAAGAACTCGCAAGACGTTTTGTCTTGCGAAGCAAGCCCATAGGGAAATTCATCTTTCGGAACGACTCAAAAAACGGAAAACTCTTTCGTCTAGCGAGTTTTTCGTCTTGCGAGGCATTCGTCTTGCGGGGCACCACTGTACTATACTATCAAGATAATAAAGTGGTAAAAATGTACCTGCAGTGTTTTGTTATCTTAGGACTGAATAATTTGTGTTGCATCTGTGCATTAACAAATGTCCTTTTTTTGTAAGCCACCTTGATATATTATGAAAGTATGGATCATAATTATTCAAACAGATTTAAAAAAAGAGAATATTTCAGATATTGCTCCATTTCAGTTACTGCACTGTTAAGAAAGAAGTACCATTCAGAAAGTGTTTCTCAGTATATTTTGTACACATCTGACAACAAAACACCTAGCAAATTCTCAAACAAGGTGTGCTTTGCCTTCTCCAGCTTTGCATGTAGAATGATCGATATTTCAAGTGAATATGTGCCATTATTTTCGTTCTTTCCCCCTTGCTTTATGTTTAAAAGTGCTGTGTTAACATTCACACATTTGTCCATCAATGTGGTGTATTTGTAAAACTGGTTTGGGAGTACAGTTAAAAAACAACAACAGGGAAACCAGCCAGATACTGCCATGCTCATTCAACTCCTGCTTGAAGACCCCCACACACCGAGCTAAATCCTGGATATTAATAAATACTGTTGAACATGTTGAGAATATTTCCAGTGCAGCTCTAGTGTTTGGAAAATGTTGTGTATGTCTTCTGCCCGGACCTCTGCATTCACTCCTTGGGTGCTGGACTGCTGTGGCCCTAAAGCTATCTATATGGTCTTCATAATAAGGAGGTGTAAAGTGATCCAGCCAGTAATTGTGACGACTAGGAAAGGTATTGGCATCCATTAGAAAAATGACTCCTAGCTGCAGCTAAGTATATGGCCCAGTTTACACCAACTTTATACACAAACATGACTGAGCTGCTCATGTATGAGGAAACTCACCTCTCCCCTCCCCCTTTTGTTTTGGGGATGTGTGTGAAAACAGTTACTTGGATTTCTAAATAGACTCCAGAAGCCATGTGTATTCCTAAAACAGACAGTGCACAAGAAAGATGTGAAGAGAAACAAGCCACTATTCCACTGTCAACAGAAAGTACTCAGTGATTAATGTTATTTTTTCATAATGCATACAGCAATCAACAGAGCAAATCAGTGATCACATGAATAACCATGTGGTTCTAAACAGCTGAAAGTTAACGTTGAGAGCTGGGAAATTCAGGGCCCCTTCTCTTAGAGCTGCAACAGAGCACATTTCTCAAAAGGTTGTGTCATGGCTGATGATTGAAAATCTATTACTGGATGGATTGGTCCAGTTGTATGCAGAGGGGTTTTTTTTGTGGCAGTTGCTTCTAATAGTGTGTGTCATTGCCATAGAAAATATCCATGAGTGGGCTAATCTGCATTGAGTCAAGCCACGAAGTCCATAAAATGAGAATTCAGCAGCAAAGGCAGGCAGCCTTGGTCTGATCTTTACAAACAGGGACATTGCAGTGCAATGCGTAAATGCTACACATGTGTTATCTCCTAGCTTTAATGGGCACAGGAAATCTTGGAAGGACCTCAGATAGCATTGTACAGTACTGTATTTTCAGCTGGGGAAACAGCACTGAGCTGTGATAAAATATTTAACCCCTGTTTTGAAAACCAGCTGATTCAGTGCCAAAGTTCCTTCTCCATGATTGACTTCTTGGACATTATTGAACTTTGTGATACCAAACCCTAGTGTTGTACCTAAAGAAACAAAATGATGTATGTTAGATAATTCAGCCATGATTAGAGATACCATTCTCTATAGCATGCGTTCTTATGGTCAGTTTGTGACTGGATTTGCTTATTAGGGCTGAACTGTATCTTAAATAAATCCTCACATTTGCCTGTGTTTTTAAATAAGTGCCATGGGGGGTCAGCCAGGAGAAGAAATTGGCGTAGGTGCAGGAGGGCATTAACTCTTTCTACCCACACTGCAGTTCAGGTGCAAATTATCCAGCCAAAGCTCAAAAAGGAATTGATTCAATAAGGGTAAAAATATGCATTTACTTAAAGCCAAACACATTTCGCGTTCTTGAGAGCTCTTTTTCCAGGGATAACTTAATTCAGAGAGATTAAGAATCTCCTGCAATGCTTTGACTGTAGTTGGTACATAAAGTTTTCGCTGAAGTATTTGATCTTCTATTTCCAACATTTCAGTTGCCCTTACAGTAGTCTGAATCAAATAATTGAATCAAATTGAATTAACTGTTCACTTAACTGAAATTATAACAATTCCAGTTATAATTAAGGCTGGTGCATTTTCTCTGGATAGCACATCAAGGGACTGTATGTAGTACATGTCTCGCCTTTCACTCCCAGTGTTGATTATTTCTCCCCTTATAGCTGTTGGATTTCAGTTTCCCCTGCTTTATGTTTCTTCCCAGTTTACTGCTTTTGCCTGTTTTTCTGCTAACACCAGTTTCTCAAAAGCTGCACATATATTAAAGGGATATGCTGTTTCTCCATCTCTTGGTGCATTTTTTTTAATCCCACTGGGTTTATTGTCACTGTTATCATTGAATGAGTGGTGTGGATACTTAGAATCATAGAATCATAGAGTTGGAAGAGACCACAAGGGCCATCGAGTCCAACCCCCTGCCAAGCAGGAAACACCATCAGAGCACTCCTGACATATGGTTGTCAAGCCTCTGCTTAAAGACCTCCAAAGAAGGAGATTCCACCACACTCCTTGGCAGCAAATTCCACTGTCAAACAGCTCTTACTGTCAGGAAGTTCTTCCTAATGTTTAGGTGGAATCTTCTTTCTTGTAAAGGGGCATTAGGATTGTCTTAACTTGAATTTGGATGATAAATAGTATGAAGATGTGTCCCAATTCAGTATTTACTATGGAAGACACAGCAGATACAGTGAGGGGGGGAAAGTATTTGATCCCATGACGAAGAAATGACCAGTCCATAATTTTAATGGTAGGTTTATTGTAGCTGTGAGAGACAGAATAACAGCAGGAAAAACCCCAGAAACCCGGAAGACAAAAGTCAGAGATTGATATGCATTATAAGGAGTGAAATAAGTATTTGATCCCCTATCAACCAGCCAGATGCCAAGCTACCTGGTATCTTCACTGTATGTAACAAGATGAGATTAGAAGCAGCTGCTGTAAGGGAGAGGTCTTACCTGTAATCCTAGCTTGTTACAGTACCTGTACAAAAGACCCCTGTCGACAGAAGCAATCAATCCAGCAGATTCCAAAGCAGCCACCATGACCAAGACCAAAGAGCTGTCCAAGGATGTCAGGGGCAAGATTGTAGACCTGCACAAGGCTGGACTGGGCTACAAGACTATTGCCAAGCAGCTTGGTGAGAAGGTGACAACAGCTGGTGCAATAATTCGCAAATGGAAGAAACACAAAACAACTGTCAACCTCCCTCGGTCTGGGGCTCCATGCAAGATCTCATCTCGTGGAGTTGCAATGATCAGGAGAACTACAAGGGGGGAAATTGTCAGTGATCTCAGGGAAGCTGGGACCATAGTCACCATGAAAACAGTTGGTAACACACTACGCTGTGAAGGACTGAGATCTTGCAGAGCCTGCAAGGTCCCCTTGCTCAAGCTAGCACATGTACAGGCCCATCTGCAGTTTGCCAATGCACATCTGAATGACCCAGAGGAGAACTGGGTGAAAGTGTTGTGGTCAGATGAGACCAAAATCGAGCTCTTTGGCATCAACTCAACTCGCCATGTTTGGAGGAGGAGGAATGCTGCCTACAACCCCAAGAACACCATCCCCACCATCAAACATGGAGGGGGGCATAGTATGCTTTGGGGGTGTTTTTCTGCTAAGGGGACAGGACACCTTCACCACATCGAAGGGATGATGGACGGAACCATGTATTGTCAAATCTTGAGTGAGCACCTCCTTCCCTCAGCCAGGGCATTGTAAATGGGTTGAGGATGGGTATTACAGCATGACAATGACCCAGAACACACGGCCAAGGCAACAAAGGAGTGGCTCAAGAAGAAGCACATTAAGGTCCTGGAGTGGTCTAGCCAGTCTCCAGACCTTAATCCCATCAAAAATCTGTGGAGGGAGCTGAAGGTTCGATTAGCTACACGTCAGCCTCGAAATCTTACTGGCTTGGAAAGGATCTGCAAAGAGGAGTGGGACAAAATACCTCCTGAGATGTGTGCAAACCTGGTGGCCACCTACAAGAAACGTCTGACCCCTGTAATTGCCAACAAGGGGTTTGCCAGCAAGTACTAAGTCATCTTTTGCAAAGGGATCAAATACTTATTTTACTCATTATAATGCACATCAATCTCTGACTTTTGTCTTCTGGGTTTCTGGGGGTTTTCCTGTTGTTATTCTGTCTTTCACAGCTACAGTAAACCTACCATTAAAATTATGGACTGGTCATTTCTTCGTCAGAGGGCAAACAGGCAAATTTAGCAGGGGATCAAATACTCCCCCCCCCCCACTGTAGCTCCACATGCTCAGGTTGTGAGTATTTGTCCGATTTTGGGGGAAGGATATAACTTCCACCCAGGTCAAATAGCTGGTGTTCTGGGGGCAAAGGTGAATGTTTGCTTCCCCTATGGTCCTTGTATTTACTTGTATCATTGCATGTTAGAACTGACAGCATTTATTTGCTCTGCATCCTGCTTTAACTCCTAGTCTCTGCTGATGACTCACTGGGCCTGTGAGATAATTTTTTGAGCGTTGATGAGCTGCTCGTTTTCAGCCGTACAATTTTCTCTCCCTTGTATATTTCTTTACTCTTGGAAATTGATAGGATTAAGAGGGCAGACTTCATGTGCCAGGCTCACAATTGTCTCTTAGCCCCTGTTTTTTCAAAAGCTGTGCCCATATTTATATATGGGAAAGACTATGAATAAGGCACCTTTATGTTTGATAAATATAATTTAGGGATTTTTTGGAGGGGAGGTGGGAGAAGGAGTGGTAGGAGTTATACCACCACAAAGACATGATCATAAACATATATTTTATTATAACCAGCTACATCCAGTGATGCTACATGTAATATTCCATCTGCTGACAGTACGTTGACAGTCTTCAATAATGACTAAAAATAACTTACAATTTTTATTTGCTCACCAACCAACTGATGAGATTTGACTGGTCTCTCTAGGCATGTTTTGCATGACAACCATGATTGGATCTCCCAGTGTTTTTATTTTCACTTCAGAAAGCAGGGACGGGGGCTCTGAATTTGCTCAGAGCTGTAGCACTTTGGGGGCGGGTGTCTCACACTTTCTTCTAATGCTGTACGGTATACCATTCCCAATCAAAATCATTTCTACAGGGCTAACAGCAGTTTCAGAGATGCTTTTAGATAAGAACAAATGGGTACTGTAAGAAAAATACAATGCAAAGGTGTTTTTTTTTAAAAAAAGATAAAGGACCCCTGGACAGTTAAGTCCAGTCAAAGGCGACTATGGGTTTGCAGCACTCATCTCACCTTTTAGGCCGAGGAAACTGGTGTTTGTCCACAGACAGCTTTCAGGGTTATGTGCCCAGCATGACTAAACCGCTTCTGGCGCAACGAAACACCGTGATGGAAGCCAGAGCGCACTGAAATGTCTACCTTCCTGCCACAGCGGTACCTATTTATCTACTTGCACTGGTGTGCTTTCGAACTGCGAGGTTGGCAGGAGCAGGGACAGAGCAACACAAGCCCAAGAGGTTTAGACCACAGTGCCACCTGCGTCCCTAAAAAGTACTATGCACCCTTCCTCTGGCACCGTTATTCAAATCAAATACAGTACCAATGTGTGCCAATTCAGTTCAGCTTCCCTAAAGGGGTGTGTGTGTGGTTGGTTGGTTGGTTGGTTGGTTGGTAAAAGACTGAAGATATAACTGGATCTCCTACATAATTAATCTTTCATTCTGAGAAGCAGGCAACCATCAAAAAATCTTAGCTACAGGTGAAACCATAGACATGGTTTCATATGCTGAAGGAGGAGCTATGTCTGATGGATCAAAAGTGCTGTTTGTGCTCGTGTATTACCAAAGGGATGGAGGGGGGACATGCAGTGCTATGTTTAAGGAAGCGGTAGCCTCTAGCTTTGTAGATTGGTATGGTAAACAGCTTTACTTCTGGTTATTGAAGCAGAAATCCTTAATAAATACTTGTAAAGGTTAATGTGTGGTAGAACTGTAACAGTATTAGCTTGATGGTTCAAAACTAGACTAATACCCTTTACAAGTTGGCTTTGAAGGAAACATTGCCTTGTGGGGTGCTCCTGTTCAGTGTCCCGGCCAGTCAGCAGTGTCTTTACACAATACTCCATCCCCTCTGGTTTTTAGCACTTCTCTTTCCTTTCCTTCCTGGTCAGCATTGCGTACCCTCTGAGCATGCTCACTATGGGGGGGGGGTCTGCTTAGGGGGATCTGGGTTCTAAGTTTATCTAATTTGTTTTTTGTTCCCTCAAGCATTCAGATACATCCCTATTGCCCATGGGTGGTATAATCAAATTAAAATTACCTAGTTAATGCAAGTAGCCGTGTCATATGCATATGAAAAATAAAAGCCAACAAGAAATTTGCTGAAAATAATTTGAAATGGGACCAGCGGGTTGATTCTTTTTAGAACTTTATTCACTAATTTTAAATTCTTTCTTCCATCATGGAAGCCAAAATAGCATACATTTAGAGGAGGCATGCGATGCAACTGCTATGCAGCAGTTTGTGTTGAGATATCTAGCTCTCTGCTACTTGATTTCTAAAAAGCTCTTAGCCATTATTAACATAATCTGATTGTTAGTGCAAATATGTAGCTGACATGGAACAACAATATTCTAACTGAAGTCACACTGAGAGCTGCCTGCATCGCCCCCAAGCCTCTTGGGCAGTGCCACTCATGGCTGTTGCCATCCTGGAACAAGGTTTAAGAGCAATGGAGACTGGTCACAGGTCATCAACAACAAACCATAGTATTATACATTACTAGCTTTGTAGTAATATACACTTAGAATGATACTGAATTATACTGTAGGAACTGCTGTAGATTTCTTGCCGTTGCATATTTTTTTAATAGAACTGCCATAGTTACAGGTCTTGATCTGAGTCACCTCAAAGGGGGAGCTGCCTCTGAACATGGGCAGAATGTGTTTTACCATGGATTACTATAGTATTCTGCTGCCTGTCTGGAATTGAGACCTGCCCTCTTAAGTCAGCAAATAGAGCAGATTGTCAGTACACATTGGAAACCAAAAGTTACTAAACAGCATAGTTACACTGATCTTTCGTTTTGTTTCTCTGCAGTTACCAATTACAATAACGTCGTAGAAACAAATTCTGATTCAGATGACGAAGACAAATTGCACATTGTTGAAGAGGAAAGTATACCAGATGCAGCAGATTGTGATAACAGCGTGCCAGATGATGACTTGCCAAAAGACCATACAGTATTACCAGAACGCAGTGAAAGAGAAGGAAGTGCAAACAGTTGCTGGGAAGATGAAGGTATGTGTCATCATCAGTGTCTCTACCTAAAAAGACCTTGCAAACATAGCAATATATTAACTTTTTACAAAATTGCACAGTACTGAAATGACTGTATTCTGCATAAAAATGAAACAAAAGGGAACAGTTGTTGACTGCTAGCTCAAATAACAGTTATTTTTGGCCCTGATTCAGGTAGATCATCTCCCCCACCCTATTTGACCTAGTGCTGATAGAGTTCCTGCTTCATACAAGAAGTTACCTGTATGGCAGAGAGAAGAGACTTGTGCCACTCATTCTACCATGTAAATGAAGTGCCCACACCCATTGACTTGTGAGCTGGGGTTGGGTTAATAGTACCAGTTGTGTTCAGAAGTAGCAGGACTAATAAAGTTTTCAGGGTTTTTTCTGTGGGACAACCAGCCTTATATGACCAACATGCTTTAGGTCTAATTAATGCATAAAGGGGTTAATACCATAGAATAAGCTGTCCTGCCAGGCTTAGCAGCATCACGGCTGCTTACCTTAGGAGGAAATGGGCAATTAAGCTTATCGTTCTCTCAGTGTACCTGATGAACTCACCATGTGAAGATGTCTAAGCTGGTTGTTCTGGCTTAGCCACATGGCTTTCACAAGCCGCTCTTCAGTTCCTCCTTCAGTTCCAATAATTTAGGAATTTTCACGATTGTAATTAAGTCAGGTTTGACTTCCTGTGCAACTTTTTTTGAATGCTGTATGGAAAAGCACATGTTGAAGAGTTTGTAAGTAAACAAATGTTTAACTTACTAGACTTTTGGTCTTTTGCTTTGCTGGGAGAAGAGGGAAGTTTTGGAACTCACAACAGCGTATTTTAAAGGTCTATCTCCACACTTTACTTTGCTGCATGTTTTGTGAATTTAAATCTCTGCAGGGCTTCTCTCACCAAAGAGTATTTGCCCCCAAATCTGGATTTTGGCATCTAGGGAATTCTCCTTTCTATATACCTATTTTTTACTTGCACCAACACTTTCCTCCTTGGTTTTGAAAACAGGTGTCTGAGCAAAATCTGTCCACTGTTCAAATTTTGTTTGCTTTCAATTAAGTATTACCGTACTTCATTCTGTAGTTTCTTTCATTAAAAGCCCTATGTGTCTTTCTGTAGACATTTTTTGCTTTCATATGCCCCTTATCATGAGTTTAATTTGTCAGGTTGCATGGAATTTTGCTCACATGAAAATGTGTGTAGCCTTAATCACTATTTACTTGGGCTCAAAAGCTTCTTGGTCCTTACCAGTTCACTGGGATGTTGCAATAGGGCTTTGCTAGATCTTGAGACTCAACTTTTTCTGTTTCCTCAGCTTCTTACTCTGACACCTATCAGTAATGATCAAACTTAAGAACTTATTATGCTCCTAGGCTCTTTGCCTTTATTCCCCACCCAACCAGCCATGGAGTTCTTTTTCAATGGGATGCCAAGTTGCCATGGCCATGGGCATGCTGTGTCTTTTCTGGTTTATGAAATCTCAAATGATTGTCAAAGCTTGGAGTGTTTAGTGGGGGGTCTAAATGCATTTTCTTCTGCATTTAAGTCGTGCTCATGTTGTTCAGATCTTGACTACCTTGTTGATTTTTTCTCCCAGCACAATGAGGTCTTCTTTGGTACTTAAAGAAACATGAAGGCCAACTATGTTCAAGATCTTTTATCCCTATTATAACAATTTAACTTTTGCAAAGTTAGATATCAATCTCTGCAAGCCTGCTGACCATTCTGTTTGTTTGCTTCAGCAGTATTGAATTCTGACTTCCACAAACTCCTTAAGATTCCTTTCCTAAATGCTTTTTTCTGTTCCAGCAGAGGAAATGAGCAATTTTTAATTACTTTGCAACAGGAAGACACTCACGTGCCTCTATGAAGTAACCTTTTTTGTGATGATACTACAAAAAGATAGCTAGAGTACATGTTGTTAGTTTCAATTAGTCTGTTACTTCTGTTAGATCTCACTGCAATCTCCCAACTTTACTACCAGAGAATGCCAATCAGAAAAAGTAATACACTCCTAGAATTCTATTCTTGTGATACACTTCTCTGAGCCCATGCCTTTACTCTCTCAGCTTCTCACATCATCAACCCAGTTGAATAAATTTTGTATCATCTGAAATACTTAAAATATTTGGTGTTACAGACGTTTCACCTCTCTTCTGAAGAAACAGGAAAAGCATTAGATCTGAGTACCATAGGTCAAGGCTTTGAAGTCCCTTGAACCACCTTCTGTGGAATAAAGCGACAACGCAGTCTCTTGTTATATGACATTTCTCAGTTTTAAGAAATGGACAGCTAGATTGAAGGATTGCAATTTTTCTTTTGCTACTACATATTTCTAGTTTTAATTTTTGAAATCTGGTTTATCGGCAGGAGGGGTAACAGGAGGAAGCATGAGATAGATAGATGATAGATAGATAGATAGATAGATAGATAGATAGATAGATAGATAGATAGATAGATATCTGAGGCAAACATTTGGTTTGTACATAATAAATTAGCTTAAATCTATCACTTGGGAATAGTCTGATGACCTATCTGCACATCTCTGTATTTGTACTTGTGTGAATAAAGCAATACTTAACTAAAGTCTGCTGCTTGAAAGGTTGTGTGTGCTTGTTAGGTCATCCTCCCATGAAGAAGGTAGAACTTCTTAAATGAAGTAGAGTATACCCAGGAATAATTCACATTCTCCAGGGTCATGTTCACATTTGAATTTAAACCTAATTTTATTTCCAGGGCTAAGTTAGAGCTATTTACAGAGGCATGTTGTGAATTCTTTAGGAGGAATCTTCTAAATGGCATCAGCTGCAAGCCCAAGGTCTTTCCTACAGATCCTAGCACAATTTTCTAGACACTTTCTAAACTCATACACAAAGTATAAATAGTGGGGCAGTGTCTCACGTAATTGAAGGCCATGCTTTGAGAGCACACATGGAATCTCCTGTGTATGTAGATTCTGTTTTGGCCATCAACTTCCAAATCCACTATCAATATTTTAAGAAAGAAAAATTACAGAAATGAAAGCTGGCCAAAGTTATCAAGGCCCTGATAACATCTAGATCAGGGGTCTGCACCCTTTAAGACAAAAAGAGCCACTTGGATCCGTTTCCGAAGGGGAAAAAAACTGGGAGCCGCAAAACTCGTCATTATAAAAATAACTTTTTTGTCACTTTTTTATTATTTCTTTGTTTGACCCTTCAGAATTACTCCTCCTCATAGAAATAAACGTTAAATTAACAAGTTACCTTTTTGTGTGTGTGTGTTCTTCACTCCCCTTCAAAACAGTGACCAGCGTACATGCCCCCTTTCAATGCAGTGACCAGCGTACATGCCCCTTACAATGTAGCGGGCGGGCGGGAAGGTGCCGTCGGGACGGTGCGTGACTAATGCACGCACCGCCCCCATGCGACGTCACAGCCAGTACAGCGCCCGCCACAGTGGGGAGTGTCGGGGCGCACAATGTGCCTCCTCCCCTCGCTAGTATCCGCCCCGGAGCCGCGGCAAAGGTGTAAAAGAGCTACATGCGGCTCCGGAGCTGCGGGTTGCAGACCCCTAATCTAGATGGATAACTTCAGTGCACCAAGGTTGCCTTTCAAGATTATTCAAAATATAGCAGCAAGCCTGTTAATTAGTACTGACAGAAGAGAATTAATATATCACTATATTTATTGATTTTGCATTTGCAGTCCACCCTACACCATGTGGTCCCAGGGCAAGTTACATATGGCTCAGTACAACAAGCTAACCGTGTAAGACATAAACATTACAAGTCCATAAATTAAACCTAATCAACAGTAGGCAGAAACAGCACTGTAGTTGGATGCCAGGAAAGCATAATGCGGTTTGTGCAGGCTTTTAATGGGGTTTAATATCCCTTGTTCAAATTTTCTGCTTATATTTTTAAAATAGATATGAAACTGTTTTTTAAAATGATCCACAATTCTTCTAAAATTTGTTCGGATTTTTACCTGATAGTTTGTTTGCTGATATTGGATTGTTGGATTTTTATCTATATCTATATCTATATCTATATCTATATCTATATCTATATATATATATAGATATATATCTATATCTATATATATATAGATAGATATATATATATATATATATATATATATATATATATATCTGTCTTGTCTCTATACAGTTTTATTTATATTGGGAACTCCACCAGAAATTACCTTTGAAAAGTGAGATATAAATAAATACAGTTTGTACCCAGCTAAGTGATATTTAGAGTAGACCCACTGAACCAATAGTCTTGTATGTCTGAGTATGCCTTGGTTGGATGCAGCTTAGCAGTCAATACAGGACTGGTATATAGCAGAATAAGTGATTGGAAAATGCATCATCTGTTTGCTGCTCTTGCTTAGTAGCAACATTGCATAGTACTTTCATTTCTGTACTGTGCTTAACTCTTACAAGAACGTTAATCAGGGCTAGTAAATCTATTGATAAACGTTCTGATTACATGTTCTAATTTTATACTATTATGCCACATTTGCCTTTAGTTGTTTTTTTTACTACTATAGTAAATAAACATATTGTTACTTGAATTTGGACATTGGAGAGAGTTTCTAACATGTACAGTGCTGTTGTTAATAATATGCTCAGAGCATTTTTACACAACATACATCTTATTTATGCAAGAGAGGCAACCATGATTAAATATGCAGCAGAATGTCTTATCCATGTTCAAATAACATAATTGTCTGGGCTTCCCAAATCTGCAGAGCGAGGGTCATTTCCAATTGGACTTTTGCAGGAAGCACCAGAAATGGTACCTTTTGCAATAGCCTGGTGAGAGAGAGTGGCTAGAAAGTGAACCAAGACTTATGAATTCTAGCTCGTTGCTGTAGTCTGTTTGCTTTCTGTTGTGTAACTGAAAATTTCTGCTTACCGTGGTGCTGGTGTCTGAGGGTGTGCATTTCTCTGATGGCAAGAGACGAAAAGCTGTTTTAAGCAAATGAGGGTTTCTGGATTATGTAAAAGTCTAAACTTCACTTCTCTTCTTGTCCTATTTTAGCTAGTAAAGAAGCAAAGGAAATCCTGGGGCCTGAAGCTCAAGCAGATGAATCTGGATGTACAGGTATTTGTCACCAAATTCCTTCATTTGTGTTTGTGGTACTTAGCATATCATTGAGGTTTACATAACAGTGCGTGTTCTTGAGGAAGGCTATTATTCGTCTTTCTCTGCCACCCCTCGCCCTTTTGGTCTGTCTGTCTGCACATGAAGCCTGAAGTATGACTAGTGAAGATGACTGGCTTAGACTCCCATTAGAGCCGTTTTGAGGTGTTGCTAGTAAATTATGCAAAGCAATCCCTTCCACTGACTGCAGTGCCTCTGCAGCCTCTTAGCTGCTTTTTGGTTCAGGGAACAAGAGCAATGGATGAACAATTTACTTCTGGTCTGTTGCAAGATCACAACAGAGCATTATGATGGGTCCCAGCTGAGGCAATACTATTAGCCATAAAACCTTAATATTACATTTTATGCTTAACAATGTATGTAAAATTAGCTTATATATAATGAGCCACAATATGCCAAGGATGTTTTATTTACTGTAGTTGCCTTATTTTAATTGTATGGAAAATAATGATTCTTCGCATGGAGTTTTAAATTGGCACTATATCCTAACTCTGGGTGAGCGACATACACCTCTGTAGGGCATGTTGTCTCCCATAATTATTATTCATACTGCAAGCTCTTGTTAATATTCTGGGGATATAGAGATGTATTTGAAAATGCAATTACCGAAGTGTTAAAAGGATAAAAAAAATAAGGAAGTAAGCAAAAAGAAACAGAAATTTCTCTACCACAGTACAAACTCCTACACATGCTGTACTTCCCATACTTAGCTATGAAAAGGAAGTGCTGCATGCATGAATATACATTTTGTACTGTGATGCCAAAGAGTGCCTTTTAAATAGACTCTATACAGGTAATTGGAGCTGCTAGATTGTTGCTGTTTCTTCTTCCAGTGCTCTAAACTGAGGATTTCAAACATTGAAAAAGTGAGGTTAGCCATTTTTGAAAAGGCAAGGGGTGTGTGTGTATGCAACATGTCTTTTTAGCATCTTTCATGGGTGTGTTTGTTTTTTACAGTTTTGTTTCTCTTCCTGCTTTTTCAAAGAAGAGTTTAAAAATAAACCAGCCAGTAGCAGCAATATTTAAAATTAACAATACACCCAGCAGTCAGAATTAAAATCAACATTCTACAGGCCTGGCAGAACAAAAAACTATTTACCTTTGTTCTAACATTCCTTATGGATTGTATCTTGCAGGCTTTCTTTCAGAAGGGAGTTTTATAAGCAGTGTGCCAGGACAGAAAAAAAACCATGGGCCTAATCTCGGGTGGAGAGGGCCCATGGAGAAGGAGGTAGTCCTCTTTTAGATCAGGAGGCATATGGAGTAAGACTTGCCAAATTAGCTCAGGTTGCAGAGAGTGTGGAGGTTTATATGCAAATCACATAATAATATCATGAACTCCAGTTTGCGAGTTGCATGAACTATTTCTACACTGCTAAGGCCTTCTCTCCTATAACTGAGTTACGAAGATTTGTATAGGAGCTGGAGGCCTGCATTAAAGGGAAGGTAAGCAGGGAATGAGATACCAAGGATGTAGTGATGAGCGAAAGACCAGGGGCTTTCCTCTGGCATGTCAGGATTTTTCTGTGTTCTCATGAAAAATCCCAAGAGTTCAGAAAGATGTCACCAAACCACCACCAGTTACTACGTTCCTGCAAGTTTCAAAGCTATTGCCGCCATCCCGGTAACATGCTTTCTCCCCTTACCTTGCCGTTGGCAGTGGTTTGGAAGCAGTGGCATCACAGGAAGCAAAAGGGAGCCCTTTTCCCCCAGGCTCCCTCCATCATTTTCAGCCGCACAGACTTAAGACATTCTATGGCTAGGAACATGGCTAGTTCCCTTCAAGAACTCCTATATGGCATTGTAGTTCTCTTCAAGAGCTGCTGCAGCTACCATGATGCTGCTTCAAGCCTTGGCAGTATTTTAAATGGAGTGACCAAAAAGGGAGAAATAAAGAGTTATTTGTTCCAGCATGCAGACTTTGGCCCAGACTTTTATATCATTGTCCGCATGTTTTCAAGCTTCTCTCCATAGTTATGAAGACTGTGACATGTCTCTCCTTTAAAAATGAAAGCTGAATTCTAATATCTGTTATTGAAATTCTCTCATTCTTCACAAATTGTCTTTTACTTCTAGTAAAAGAAGATGAATGTGATTCTGATGCAGAAAATGAACAAAATCATGACCCTAATGTTGAAGAATTTCTGCAACAAGACGATACAGCAGTTATCTACCCTGAAGCACCTGAGGAGGATCAAAGACAAGGAACACCAGAAGCCAGTGGCCAGGATGAAAATGGTTAATATTACTTCTGTTTTCTGTAATTTGTAAAATGGTGTTATTGGAAGCAAGCGCTGTATACGTTGGCTTCCATTTTGAAATAAAAAGTATGAATGATGGCGTTTCTACAGAAAAAAACCATAGGCTTTAAAATGCAGTCAAAATCCAAAATATAACCTTTGTGTTAAAATTTTATTTATCATTAGGATATCCTGTGTGTTTCTCATATTCTCCATATATTAATACTGTTATAATTCAAATCTGATTTACTTACTAGTCATTAGGGTTAAGCTAAATGCCACTGTAACTGACATATATTTACAGGGGCAGGACTGGTCCTCTCAGGCATTATTGTTGAAATGTTTGTTTAGTGCCAGTACTGTGCAGGGTGTAAGAAACTGCAGGGTTTCAATAGGGAGCATGGACTTAAAAGCAGTGGTGGAAAGAGTAACGGTTGCATAGGGCAGAATAAGGTGGAAGTGGCCCTACAAGCCGATGCTGGTGAGAAGGATCTTTGCTGAAAAGTAGGAATTGAAAGAGCAATGCCCAATGTGGAAAATAGAACAGCCTCTCCCATCTGCACTTCCTCTTTCCCCCTTTTTCATGTCCTCCTTAAGACCAAATCATATGCAATACTGGAGAACCTTTAATTTTTTCTTTTAACGCAGCCACAGGAAGGCATCCAAAGTTAATCGGAGTGTGGCACTGGGAAGGGAGTGTTTCCCCACACCATTTTCTTGACTGAACTAGCTCCTGTGGAGCTCATTTTTTAAGAAAGGAAACACACACACACACTCACACAGTGCAGCAGTTTCAGGGAGTTAAAAGTTATGAGGAGAAAGAGGAGAAGGAGAAGAAGAAGAAGAAGAGTTTTGGATTTGATATCCCACTTTATCACTCCCCTTCAGGAGTCTCAAAGCGGCTAACATTCTCCTTTCCCTTCCTCCCCCACAACAAACACTCTGTGAGGTGAGTGGGGCTGAGAGACTTCAGAGAAGTGTGACTGGCCCAAGGTCACGCAGCAACTGCATGTGGAGGAGTGGAGACGCAAACCCCGTTCACCAGATTACGAGTCTATCGCTCTTAACCACTACACCACACTGGCTGAGGGCAGGTAACCCCCTGTATTTAAAAAGGGCAGGCAGAAGACGAGCCCTAATCACCCCACTGAACACGCACACACACAAATCCACCCATCCCAAACATCCACCAAGGAAAAAGCAAAACACACATCGAATCTTCCAAACTTACAAGTCAGCGGTAGGGTCCCCCTTCTTTTTCTTTCCTGAAAGCGTTTTTGCTGGTGTCTGCAAGCTGAAGCACGGGCTCTTCCTTTTCTATGAAAATGTGTCTGGCCCTACCTAGGGCTCTGGGGCATTTTGAGGAAAAGGAAGGGAAGAGCGTTGGGCAGGTGGAGGCCTGCTCTTCTCTGTCTAGCACATTGGAAGGTGTGGAGGGGCTCAGCCACCATGAATGATGTCTGGAGGCATTGTGATGCCCAAGGCTACTGTACTGGGTACTCCAGGGCTAAATACTTCCTCAAATGCCACGGTTCTGATCAAAATCAGAGCTCCCTGTCCCCATGGCTTCTTTTAAGGGCTGGGGACTGGGGAAGTCAAGTAATCTGATCTCAGATTTCCACTATGTCTCATTGTAATCCTTTGGATAAGGTCCCTGCCAAACTATACTTTACGGTGTCTATTGTATGGGTCATTCCATATCAAGTGATCCAACTTTTTTACCTCATGTCATCCAATTTTCTCAATATTTTGTACACTTGTTGAATGATCAAAACTAAGCTTAAATGGAAAATTTTAATTTTTCATCTCATCCTGTTTTTGAGTTCAATTTTTTGAAATTTCAAACCCTCATAAGTCAAAAACGGGATGAGATGAAAAATGAAAAATTTAGATTTAAATTTGGTTTTGATCATTCAACAAGTGTACACAATATTAAGAAAATTGGATGACATGAGGTAAAAAAGTTGGATCACTTGATATTGAATGAACCATATATTAAATGCTTTTGAAATTTTATGTGATGTTAATTTACAGCAGTAAATTCCAAATTAAAAGGAAGTGCCTTTTTATGGCACTCCATAAAAAAACCTTAGTATTAACCACTGTGAAATATCTTCAAAATAAAACTACTTTTTAAAGGGTTGGCTAGCTTTACTAGTATTAGTAGCCAGTTTGTATTCTTTTATAAAGAAATTATAAGTGTTCGGTAAAACCCCCACAAAGTTATTGTGAGTTGTTGTTCTTGTTGTTTAGTCGTGTCCGACTCTTCGTGACCCCATGGACCAGAGCACGCCAGGCACGTCTGTCTTCCACTGCCTCCCACAGTTTGGTCAGACTCATGTTTGTAGCTTCGAGAACACTGTCCAACCATCTCATCCTCTGTCATCCCCTTCTCCTTGTGCCCTCCATCTTTCCCAACATCAGGGTCTTTTCCAGGGAGTCTTCTCTTCTCATGAGGTGGCCAAAGTATTGGAACCTCAGCTTCACGATCTATCCTTCCAGTGAGCACTCAGGGCTAATTTCCTTAAGAATGGATGCGTTTGATCTTCTTGCAGTCCATGAGACTCTCAAGAGTCTCCTCCAGCACCATAATTCAAAAGCATCAATTCTTCGGCGATCAGCCTTCTTTATGGTCCAGCTCTCACTTCCATACATCACTACTGGGAAAAGTAGCCAGTGAGTTAGCCCTGATCAAAATATGAAAATGAACAGTTGAAGAGCTATGGTGAGTGACTTGGAAGCTTTTAGTCAGTTTTTAAAGGAACTCAGAGTGATCCTGTACCCATGTACCTGGGAGTAAGCATCATTAAAGTAATAGGACTTCTGACTGGATATGTACAAAATAGCACTTGTGGTATAGTAGGGTATGCGTCAGTGTGGGTGTAGAATTTCCTTTCCCATTGCTATTGGGTCATTTCACCATTCATCAAGGCTATCCTAAGAAATTCAGAACTTGTTAGATATCTATTTACAATTTATATCCTTAAAGAAAGAGTCAGGGCAGTGCAAGCAGGCATCCACCTACACAACAGGGCTTTTCCTTCCCCCGTGCAGTCCCAAATCTGCTCTTCAGGTTGAGGTGTATGTTGAACTGGAGGGAGGGGAGAAAAACCAAGAGTCCCATTGTGCAAGTGGATTTTCATGTGGACGGTTTTGGATGTTGCCCTAAATGTACTGATTCACTATGCTGCAACAATTAGTCCCCTAAAATGTTTCCTTATTCTTCTTCAGGCACGCCAGATGCATTTTCCCAGCTGCTTACATGCCCTTACTGTGACAGAGGGTACAAACGCTTTACCTCTCTGAAAGAACACATTAAATATCGCCATGAAAAAAATGAAGATAACTTTAGTTGCTCCTTATGCAGTTACACGTTTGCATATAGAACACAACTTGAACGCCATATGACATCACATAAATCAGGAAGAGATCAAGTAAGTGATAAAGTTCACATCCAATGCACTGTTTGAAACTTAAACGATTTTGGTATTGTGTTCATTTGAGTATACTTGCATATATAAGTGTGTTTAGAGTATACTTGCCTTGATATATGTTCAACAATGTGCTATTAGAATAACAGGAGCAATGTGATGTGCTCTTCTGATAGTTCTATCAATGTAAAAATTTCAGCTTGCCCAATGGGACGGTCTCCTCTTCTGCCCTTATGCACTGTTGTGGTGTTTCTCCATATCCCCAGAGCCAACTGGAGAGCAACGCAAAGGAAGGAAAGCAGGGAGTCCTGTTGCCCTATAGCAGGACCCATTGCACTGGCTCCCGTTAACACACCTACTTAGCTGAATCCAGACGCTAACAGCTTTTAGCAAAGCATTTTTACCAGGGCATTTTGTATTGGCTGCATGACTGGGCTAAGATGATTTTGTTAGAATCCATAGGTGAAAATAACACTAATATCTTATGTTTATTTTCTCTTGCTCATTTCTGGATTCTGTTGCTGAACAAAAGCCTCAGGGCTTCGTATAGAGAATTATCGGTATACTAGTCACAGATAAGAAGAGAGGGCAGGTGATGTGATAACTTTTGTTAAACCAAGTTCTGTAGGGGAAAGGTGTTGATAGTTACAGAAGGGAAAGACTTACAGAAATATCTCCACTAATAAAGCTGTGAAATGATACCACCCATGATGTAGAGCAGTGAAGCACGTTGTAAAACTAAAATCATGAGAGATGAGTAACCTGGGGCCATCGCTGCTCCTGACACCATGCAGATGCCGCTACAGCAATTGCACGAGTGATTGCAGATTGTTGTATAGATATCACACCTCAGAGATGTTCTGGCAGGCAGCCAATATACAAACAATGCACAGTGTCTTGAAAATAATGTGGTCAGCCGCCAACAACTGGTCAACATAAAACAGATAATATTTTTTATTTATTAAAAGATGAATATCTGGTTTTCAGAGCAACTCCCACCCCCTCCCAAGGCTACTATGCTGCATTCTAACATTTCTACTGGACATTTCCCCTCTTAAGACTAATGGTTTAGGGCAACCGCATAATATGTTTGAGAAAAACAGTAACTTGTGGGCAAGAAAATTCAAACCTGTCAGCTGCCCTGTGATCCTCAGATGAATGGCAGTAAATATTTAGTAAATTAAATAGATAAATAAATAAACTACTCATTTTTATTGGTTCAGTGTGGTTTGTTCTACGTTTGGAAGCAACCAAAATATGTGAACTTTGCATATTTCTTAGACAGGTTTGTGGCTAGTAACTTCTGCTTCAAATATCATATTTACATAAACAAGAATATACATATATTCCTATAAATATTTCTATATATTCCTAAAGAGATAGATAGATAGATAGATAGATAGATAGATAGATAGATTCTTATTGGTTGCACATTTGTAACATAGTTTCACTTGCATTTTCCTGATTCATAAAGTAGGTGTTCCAAAATTTCTTCCAAGTCCATTATCCTTGACGTTGGAAACCTGACAAAATGCTTTCTTGTCATGAATCTCTGACAAAGTGATCCCAAGAAACCTTTTCAAGAACATGGCATTCTAACAAGGGTGACTTGCCAAGAATGACTTTGCTATTTATTATGATTCCTTCTCATTTATTTATAGCAATTGCCAGTAAGAGTTGGAATGTATATATGAAATACAACTGAGTTGCTAAATCACTTATACCGTATTTTTCGCCCTATAGGACGCACTTTTTCCCCTCCAAAAATGAAGGGGAAATGTGTGTGCGTCCTATAGGGCGAATGCAGGCTTTCGCTGAAGCCTGGAGAGCGAGAGGCGTCGGTGTGCACCGACCCCTCTCGCTCTCCAGGATTCAGGAAGCTATCCGCAAGCCTGGTCCAGCCGGATGCGCAAGGCTTGGGGCGGCAGCCTGAAGCACGGGGCAAGCTGCGGAGCCCGCCCCGTGCTTCGGGCAGATGTCGGCAAGCTTCGCATGCCCTGCAGGAGGTCCCGCCGGGCGCGCAAGGCTTGCAGGCAGCAGCCTTTTCTGGGGGCTGGGGTCGGGGGAAGCTCGAGCTTCCCCCGCGCCTGGGAGGGAAATAATTTTTTTTTTCTTTATTTCCCCCCCCCAAAAAAAACTAGGTGCGTCCTATGGGGCGGTGCGTCCTATGGGGCGAAAAATATGGTAAGTTATGAGCCTTTATCGTCTAGAAGCCAGCTTGCATTTTATCTGCAATTTGCAGAATTACTGTATTGCTTATTTACATTGCATGGCCTGCCAAGTGCTCCTGTTTGGGGACTGAGTACCAGATATATATATGCAGCCGTTGTGACTTGTGTGAGTCACAATGACTTGTGACATGAAAACAAGTCTTCCATGTCTACGTTGTTCACGTGGTGCAGAGGCCTCCCTGGGTGCTCTGCCTTATATATTGTTAACTCAGTGGCAGCTTCAATGTGCTCCAGGTGTGATCACCTGGGGACCACTATGTATAAAGTGGCCCTCAGCATGGAAGAAATGTGCATAGATGGAACAGCTACCTAGAGACCAGAAACACTGCTTCTCATTAGCTCCAAGTTCTTATTGCGCATGTTTTCCCTGTCTAAAAAGTATAAGAGTGGTTTTAAAAAAAGTATAAGGACAGAATGTCTCTTCCATGCCCTTAAGAATTTAAGTTTCATAGTCACGGCAGTGTTTGATTTAGTGTTGGGCAAAATGCCTTTCACACACACACTTCACTATTTTGTTCTTGGGCTGGATTTGGGAGTGGCAATGTGTTGAGGTGGGGCAGATTTACTGCTGCTGGTGATTCCTGGTTCTCTTGGGCATCCCACAGTACTCCAGAAGGAAGACATCTGAAGCCACATGATGTCAGAGTGAGAGTTATACTTCCTGTCCTCACTCTGCAGTCTTATGAGTTTATACAGAAAAATGCCACCCAGCAACAGCTGAAAATGTGATTGTCATCATGGGCAGGACCATGAATTGAGTGGTGAATTGAGCAGGGGGGTGGGCAACGGAGTTGTTTTCTTGCACACATACCCCAAACCCCCACTTTTGGGCTGAAAGGTTTCTTTTAAAACAACTTTTGGACTCAGCAGAGGCCTCTTTGTAAGATACACATAATGCCCTATAGGGCATATAGAACATTTGTAGGCCTGATTGATTGATTGATTGATTGATTGATTGATTAGCACTATCTATTTGAACCATTAATTTGTTCAATGGCCCTTGCCAAGTTCAGATCCCAGTCTCAGTTATTTATACAACTGGGGAAATAATAATAATATACTATTTATACCCTGCCCATCTGGCTGGGTTTCCCCAGCTACTCTGGGCGGCTTCCGACAAAATATTAAAAATAAATCATCAAACATAAAAAACTTCCCTAAACAGGGCTGCCTTCAGATGTCTTCTAAAAGTCGGATATTTGTTTATTTCCTTGACATCTGATGGGATGGGAGGGTGTTCCACAGGGCGGGCACTACTACCAAGAAGGCCCTCTGCCTGGTTCCCTGTAACCTCACTTCTCGCAGGAGGGAACCGCCAGAAGGCCCTCAGAGCTGGACCTCAGTGTCCCGGCTGAATGATGGGGCTGGAGACGCTCCTTCAGGTATACTGGGCCGAGGCTGTATATATAACGATTCACTTCACTTTGCTATTGCGATTATGGTGATGAGAGCAGCACCTTAACTTATTAAAGGGCTGAATAGTAACTCATGCTTTTGATGTCTTACTGCCTTTAACACAAAGTTGATCCCTCTGTTGTGCATACTTAGCAAACAGCCAGTCGTTTATTTTAATTACAGTGGTACCTCGGATTACATACGCTTCAGGTTACATACACTGCTAACCCAGAAATAATACCTCAGGTTAAGAACTTTGCTTCAGGATGAGAACAGAAATCGTGCTCCGGTGGCGCGATGGCAGCAGGAGGCCCCATTAGCTAAAGTGGTGCTTCAGGTTAAGAACACTTTCAGGTTAAGAACGGACCTCCGGAAGGAATTAAGTACTTAACCCGAGGTACCACTGTATTTATAACTGCCTGCAATATTTCATGGATTTTCTCTGCCTCCTGGTATCTGTTAGGGGATCCATAGCTGTGAGTCACGATTTCAAATCAGGAACCTTCACTTGTTTCTTCTCTGTTGGGAAGCTGCACTGGAGAGTCTGCCATGCAAACTGCCGGTCCAGTCCTGTTCCATTAAAGATGATGGGGGAGATTTCACTGCAAAACTTGAGCAAAATGCCTAATTCAGATGAACATTTATAGGGATACAAAAATCCATAAATAAGCACTGTTAAGTTCAATGGGGAAATTAATCACAAGCTTTAAATCTATGTCCCCAACTTTAAAAGACTTTAATGGGGTTTTAAAAGACTGGCTTTTGATTCAATAAATTAGGACTAGTATATAACCTAGTAAAATAGTACCTTTGCACATTTTTTGTTTTGTTTTGTTTCCTGATACCATGTTTGCTGTGAACTGAATTTCTTTTTGTTAAAGCAAATTCACCCCAATAACAAGACAATTCTGCATATTGCCCTGTACATTCACTTCAATGCCAGGTATGGGCTGTTTTTCCTAATATTGCAGTGAGCGGGGCAGCCCTTTCTTGTGTGGGACTCCATTGTTTTGTTCCATTTCATAGAAGTGTTTTCCCTGCATCCCTTGTTGGTGCAACAAATTATAGTAGATGGGGGGCAAAAATGTATCCACTTCATTGGCAGAATTGCATGTGTTTTCTCATACCTACCAGCCTTGTGGGATACTATTTTGAGTAGTCATGAATGAGCATATGCAGCTTCTACCAAATGCAGACTGGAGCCCTGGGCACCCTTGACTTGAGCAGCTCAGATCAAAGTGAATTATACAGTGTAAAGGTTGAAAGCTGCTTGATACATCTTTTTTTATTTCCAGAAAGTTTCTCGAGTATCAAGGTAGACAAGGATTTGTGGAATCTTAACTCTTATGTAACTTTGAACTTAGCTGAATCCAATTAGTGTGTGCTTAATAAAAACATTTTAAATGCAAGAAAGAACAAATTTCCCCCTGAATAGTAAAAACATTACCTACTACAAAGACAACTCTTCATTAATATCTCAATTCCATGTCTTATCTGTTGAGTCCTAAAAAATAAGTAAGCCTGAAGGGCTAAATCATATTGCAAATATTTTAGGATGTGTTGACTGGTTCTTTATTTACAAGATAGTTATATGGCTTCAACATAACTTATTAATGCTGATTATTAGTTATATGTGAGCTCTACTAACTTTTGAAATATGATTTCTGTGTATTTATTTGGAGAATGATTTGTGACTGAGTGCATTTGTTACTGGACCATCTTCCCTAGAGCAGCCCTGTGATGTCGTTACATAAAGGAATTCGAGGCCAACAGTAAGAGCCGGAAGCATGTAAATGGAAAAATCAAGTCAAATAATTAAAATTTAAACAGGCTTTAATGTTTCTTTGTCTCATAACCCAGATTCTTTGGATGTCTTTTACAAATAGAATAAGGGAATGCCTTGTTGAATTTCCTAGACATGTAAAATGCCAATACAGTCTCTACCTGAAATTTTGATAGAGGGCAAAATTATTTTGTGGCTTATTTTTCTAACTTTGCTCACCCGTTTTCTTGCTAGTTTGTATTTCACAAGCAATATCTTCAATCACCTGATGATTTTTTTTAACTCTATTAAAATTTTATCTTTTTTTTTCTATTGCAAATGAGAGATTCCTCACTTGTGTGTTTCGTTATACCTGTTTTCTCTTTATCTTCTGATTGATATCCACATTCTGTCTTACAGAGACATGTAACTCAATCTAGTGGTAACCGAAAATTCAAGTGCACTGAATGTGGAAAAGCTTTCAAATATAAACATCACTTAAAGGAACACCTACGAATCCACAGTGGTAAATATCTGAAGTCCTGCTTGTCAGTATAAAGTGTTGCATACCACTTGCTATGTCAAAACTATACCAAATTATAGCCTGCAGCATAAATTATGTGTTTTGGTGTGTTGAACATAATTTGTCAGCAATTAGGTAAGATATAGTGAAAGCACATAAAATATGTTAAGGAGGCTCAATAAAGAAGGTTTACTGTACATTATCAAAGCTGTTCTTCGACTGTATGACCCTTGTTCTGGCTAAATTGTAAGGTGGCACTAAGTTGTTTCAGCCATTGGATATCCAGTGTTGGTACTGAGAAGTGGTGATTTTAAAGTTTATACTTATTGCTGTTGGGTTGTATCCAAAGGTATTTTCCATTCATGGGTTATAATAATAATAATAATTTTATTATTTATACCCCGCCCACCTGGCCGGGTTTCCCCAGCCACTCTGTTTTATACCTTGCACGAGAAAATACAAATAACATCCAAATATGATGTTCAATCTGTGCATCAGCTTCTGCAAGCAAAACCACAAAAACTGTTACAGATCCTACCTGAGATAAAGTACTGTATTACCTCTGGAGCAAGCATTTATGGAACAGCAAGCGCAGCTATTTTCTTTTGGCTGGTTAAATGTTTGGTTCATGCAGCTATAGCTGTCATGTGCCATCCATTTCTTGGATTTTGCCTTTTAAAAAAACTTCTTTTGCCCTTTTCTGGAGCGGGGGCAGGGTGTACAATGCCATTTATTGGTTCAGCTGAACAGATGAGCTGTTGGACACTTAGATGATATGCAGATTTTATAAATGTGTGAAATCTTGATTTTTTTCCCCCATAGAAAATGTAGTACAGTCCAGAAAAAAATAGTGGTGATTAAATCCCTACCTTTGGAGAGAAAATGCATAGTTAAATGTTTAAGTACCATTGAGGGGATTCAGCGATAGCTAACATTCATTGGATTGTGCCTTTTGCATTGTTTTTTGAAGGCTTTGGTGCAAAGTTACTTGAAAGGGTAGTATATGTGTGCATATGAATTGGCTTATCATTAGTTTTGCATCTGTAGATTTTGAGGAGCTGCTGAGCAGATAATTGCGCCGGATCCAAGGTGTCCTTCCACATGTGGAAAGCACTTTCTGCTGATGCAAGTTAGAGTGTTGTGCAAATAAAGTGAAGCTACATACAAAGTGTTCCATATCATATGGAAGCATGATTGCTGTAGAGCCTACTTTTTTGTAGCAGTGTCTGAGCTCTTGTGCTTGCAGCTATTATCCTTCCAGACTCTTTCAATCCAAGCTATAATTTATTAGTTCAGATTCCTAGATTATAATGGCTTTTTTCTTTCTTTTTTTTATACCTCTATAGGAGAGAAGCCATATGAGTGCCCAAACTGCAAGAAACGTTTTTCCCATTCTGGTTCCTACAGCTCTCACATAAGCAGTAAGAAATGTATTGGTTTGGTGCCTGTGAATGGCCGGGCACGATCAGGGCTCAAGACATCTCAGTGCTCTTCCCCTTCCCTTTCTGCATCGCCGGGTAGCCCAGCAAGACCACAAGTACGACAAAAGATAGAGAATAAGCCGTTACAAGAACAGCTCCCCATTAACCAAATTAAAACTGAACCTGTGGATTATGAATTCAAGCCCATAGTGGTTGCTTCAGGAATCAACTGTTCAGCCCCTTTGCAAAATGGGGTTTTTAGTGGTGGTGGCCCGTTACAGGCAACCAGTTCTCCTCAGGGTGTGGTGCAAGCTGTTGTTTTGCCAACCGTTGGTCTGGTGTCTCCAATAAGTATCAACTTAAGTGACATTCAAAATGTACTTAAAGTTGCCGTTGATGGCAATGTAATAAAACAAGTGTTGGAGAACAGTCACGCCAATCTTCTTACATCCAAAGAACAAGAAACAATCAACACTGCATCCATACAGCAAGCTGGACATTCCCTCATTTCAGCTATCAGTCTTCCTTTGGTTGATCAAGATGGGACAACCAAAATTATCATCAACTACAGTTTGGAACAACCTAGTCAACTTCAGGTTGTGCCACAGAATCTGAAAAAAGAAAACCCCACCCCAACAAACAGCTGCAAAATCGAAAAGTTGCCAGAAGATCTTAGGGTGAAATCGGAGAAAGAAAAAAGCTTTGATGGAGAGACCAATGATAGCACTTGCCTTCTTCGTGACGACTGCCCAGGAGAATCCAATGCACTTCAAGAATCAAAGCACTATGATATCAGAAATCCCACTCAGCCATCTCAGCTCAGCAGTGCAGATGCTGAGAAGTCCGAACCCTCTGTTTCACCAGAAACAGGGGAGGCTAATCTATCTCCTGGCCAACCCCCTCTAAAAAATCTTTTATCCATTCTAAAAGCCTATTATGCATTAAATGCACAACCAAGCTCAGAAGAGCTCTCAAAAATTGCCGACTCGGTAAATTTGCCATTGGATGTAGTAAAAAAGTGGTTTGAAAAAATGCAAGCTGGCCAAATTTCTGTACCATCATCAGGACCATCTTCCCCTGAACCTGACAAATTAAAAAATTCTGTGGATAATGATGACCGCGCAGGACTGGAAACGGCAAATGAACACCAGGACGGCACGTCTAATTCTGAAAGCTCCCTCAAGGTAGATAAACCGCAGACTGTATCAACAGGATCAGCTCAGAATGGTTCGCGGAGTAACACAGCATCCCCATCACCCCTTAACCTCTCTTCATCTAGAAATTCACAGGGTTACGTGTACCTTAATGAAGGTATCCAGGAAGAGCCACAAATAGAACCTCTTGACCTTTCACTACCAAAGCAACATGGAGAAACATTAGAGCGATCTACTATAACTAGTGTTTACCAGAACAGTGCTTATTCTGTCCAAGAAGAACCATTGAACTTGACTTGTGCAAAAAAAGAACCGCAAAAGGACAGCAGTATTACAGACTCTGAACCAGTTGTAAATGTAATCCCACCAAGTGCCAATCCCATTAATATTGCTATACCTACAGTCACTGCCCAGTTACCTACAATTGTTGCCATTGCTGACCAGAACAGTGTTCCATGCTTACGAGCTCTTGCTGCCAATAAGCAAACCATTCTTATCCCACAGGTAGCTTATACGTATTCAACCACCGTTAACCCTACAGTTCAAGAAACACCAAAACAGATGCAGGCCAATGGAAGTCAGGTACCTGAACCAATATATGATTATGTATTTTAATTAATGAGGCAAACATATAAAGTCACAAAATAAGGTTGGGGGAATGAAGTGTTCATTTTGCTAATATTAAATTATTCTGACTAGCTGCATCTAGCTAATACGAGTTAGAATGAATTTTCTGTGCAAATACCTCACACTTAATGTAAGCAAGGCCTTTCATTCCATACGCCAGACACCATTTAGCTTTACTGTGGACTAGATGCAGATGACGACAAGAATTTGAGTCTGGTATTGCAATTTCCTTTTCCATGTGGCCATGCCTACACAACGTGACTTATCATAGCCTCTACAATGGTAATGTTACACACCTTTGACCTGTGTCCATTATATTCTGAGGCACGTTCCAAAATATTTTGGGGGGTGTTTTAACAATCAATTCCTGCATTTTCTAATTATGTAACCAAATTCTTAGCCCTTTACTGAATATTCTCTAATTTTGATCATTCCTAAAGAAATGTGCATGCTACTGCAAAATACTGATCTGCCCAATAATTGCATTGTTTCGTGGCTTTTTTATATTGTTACAATTTTCTGGTTACTGCTTGATTATAGTGCCATATTCCATCTCCATCATTCTCATTTAGCCCAATGCCTTTTAGCCTTTTAATCAGCCAAATAAGCCATATGATTCTGTTTGCGGGTGTCTAAGATGTTATTCCATGATGTTGTTGCCAGAGAAGTCAAAGGCAGAGAGTGTGACTGGGTTATATCAGGCATAGGCAAACTCGGCCCTCCAGATGTTTTGGAAGTACAACTCCCATCATCCCTGACCACTGGTCCTGTTAGCTAGGGATGATGGGAGTTATAGTCCCAAAACATCTGGAGGGCCGAGTTTGCCTATGCCTGGGTTATATAAACTCTAGCCTGGTGATTAGTCAGGTGTGCTACAGACACCTCAACAAGTGCTGCTCTCCCTAGCAAGGACTCATCCCAGCTGTAGTTTGGTTACAGGAAACTGTCTGACTGCTGCTAACATGGAGTCTTCACACAGTCCAGGCAGGAAAAGCCAACCTAGGCGTAAATGTCTAGTTATGAGGCAACAGGTGGGGAGGCTTCTACTGCTACATGAGTGTCTGCTATGCAGTAATGCACCTAACATCCTGGGAGCTAGATGCAAATGCTGGCAGGCCAGACACCCAGTCCCCATATTCCTTTTTATGCACAAGCAGCTGTTTGTACCTTGTTCTCCATATGTTGTAGGATGCAACTAATGTGTGTCACTGGTCTAACTATTAAATTACTGAGGGAAATCAGTTTCTAAGTGACTGATTACGTAGTGATCACATTATTATTAAGATGCATTGCTAGAAAGTCTCCTTTTTTTAGCTTGTTGATACCATTAATGCTGGAATTGAAATGACTTTTGGGGGGTTTCACCTTAACAGTCGAGGATGAACTTTTAGCACAGGTTCATTGGCAATGCATTAGAAATAAATACAGATAATTGAGAGTGAAATTAAACAACACTTAAACGCATATAGTACATTGGAAAATCATTTTACTTCTTCATAACTGGTATCAAAGTAGTGAAATCTGGAGCACCTATACACTACTGCTAAAAACATTTGAGAAAGCTAAATGAACACATTGCCGAAGTGCCTTCTTACAATTTTTTAGTTTATAACATTCTTGCCTTTGATATCTCCCTTCTTAACTATAGAATAGCTTTCTCTGTTCTACTTGAAAGCCTGAACATCAGGCAATTATTTAACCTAAATCTTCATGGCCCCCAATTATTAGCAAAACTGGAATGGTAGGTTCATAAAAAGAGAGAGATGTTGCTACATAAATGTGGTTGATATTTAAATGATTTTACCAAAATGTAAAAAAATAACTTGATACTGCCTGTTGTGTTCACTGCATTTGAGCAGGTGTAAGAATGTTGTTCCTTGATTTCTCAGGATGAAAGACAAGACACTAGCTCAGAAGGTGTATCAAATGTAGAGGATCAGAATGATTCGGATTCCACACCACCGAAGAAGAAGATGAGAAAGACAGAAAATGGAATGTATGCTTGTGATTTGTGTGACAAAATATTCCAGAAGAGTAGCTCACTCTTGAGACATAAATATGAACACACAGGTATGTGAACAAGAAGGTACACGGGTTGAGTGTATTACATCCATCCAGAGCCAAATGTGGTCATTGGCAACTAGTCAGGCAGAGGTGAGAATATGCCTCACCATTCATGTAAAATGGCATCTCCAGCTTGTCCAAATTGGGTTCAGAGGAGCAAGATTGTGCAGATAAGGTTGCCCATCCAGATGTCCATTTCCATTGACTGCAGATACAGAAGGCTGACAATATAGCTGCCTTGATGGATCAAGACAAGAACATAACAAGTTGTATCTAATTCATTTAGATACAGGCGAATTTTTAAAAAGTGAATATGACTACAGTGGTACCTCGGGTTACATACGCTTCAGGTTACATATGCTTCAGGTTACAGACTCCGCTAACCCAGAAATATTACCTCAGGTTAAGAATTTTGCTTCAGGATGAGAACAGAAATCGTGCAGCAGCAGCGCAGCGGCAGCAGGAGGCCCATTGGCTAAAGTGGTGCTTCAGGTTAAGAACAGTTTCAGGTTAAGAACGGACCTCCAGAACGAATTAAGTACGTAACCAGAGGTACCACTGTAGTGATAAAACAAGAAAGAAAGTGATCAGTTAGATATAGGTAACACTAGATGCCAAAGGCCTCTCCCATCCTCCACTCTTTAAGAGGTTTATCAGTGGTCAAAGTGTTAGCCATGTTTAGTTTTGTCTTTGAGTGAAACGGTGAACAAAATTGTTCAAAAAGACCAAACAAATCATGGGACCTCTGATTGTGTGTGCAGTGATTGAGTCCCAGCACACACGCCTGGAAGTTATATTGTTTTTCCTTTTTCAGGTAAGCGGCCTCATGAGTGTGGGATCTGCAAAAAGGCATTTAAACACAAGCATCATTTGATCGAACACATGCGACTGCACTCTGGAGAAAAGCCCTACCAATGTGACAAATGTGGCAAACGTTTTTCGCACTCGGGGTCCTACTCCCAGCACATGAATCATCGCTACTCCTACTGCAAAAGGGAAGCTGAGGAACGCGACAGCACAGAACAGGAAGAGGCGGCACAGGAGCGGCTAAGTAATGAGCACGCAGGGCCCGGGGCTTCCCCCTCGCAGCTCGACTCCGATGAGAGAGAGAGCTTGACGAGGGAGGAAGAGGAAGACAGCGAAAAGGAGGAGGAGGAAGAGGAAGACAAAGAGATGGAGGAGGAACCGCCAAAAGGAAAAGAATGTGGGAAATTACAAGAGGAGGAGGAAGAGGAGGAGGAAGAAGAAGACGAGGAGGAGGAAGACGAAGAGGAGGAAGAGGAGGAAGAAATAAGTGAAGGTAGCAGGAAGGATAAGGAAGCTGTAAATGAAGAAAGCAGTGCTAAACAAGAAGATATACAGAAAGAGGAGCCAATGTCAGAATCAGCAGCAAATAAAGCTTAACTGATGGTGTGGTTTTGTACAAGGCAGAGAAATCTCGGCTGGCAATGAAGGTTGTTCTGTACTCTACATGCTTTTCATGGAAGCACAGTAGCTTGTGCACTGTGATTCCTGTTCACTACTGTGTAACAAAAAAGAAAAAAAAACAGAAAATATAAAAAATATATATATCCAGGTGTGCCTGAACCTCAAACCTAGTAATTTTTCACACTTTTCAAAGTTAGGAACAAGTTTGTGACCTGAAACAGATTAGAAGAACATGGTGACTTTGGAAGCAGATATTTAACATGTTGTAGGAAACATGTTTTATTTGATATGTGTTGGACATCAGTTTGTTTTTATCAGTATTAAAACAAAAATCATTTTTTTTCTTTTTTTTCTTTTTGTTGGTTCAATTTTTCAACTGTACAATTGGGAGAGATTTATGTTGTTGTCGTTGTTTTGATTTTATCAGTGAAACAATTCTGCTAATTCCGCTTCAGTATTTTATTATATTTTTTAAATGTGAGAACTTCTGCACTACAAGATTCCCTTAAGCAGAAAGGTATGATGCAGTTCCAAACAGTGCTTGACTACCTTTGTAAATTCAGCTTAGAAGGTAGCAGTTTAAAACATTTAGATGTTGTTAGTAGAACATGTTCTCATTTAAAGTGTATTGTTAGCCTTAAGGAAGCAGCTGATAGAAGAATTGAAGTTTCTTACTCATGTGGTTGAAAATGTAGTTTGAAAAGATTGTGGTGGGGTTCTGATTGCAGGGACTAACAGTGTTAATACTGGTGAGGACAGCCAAGTTGTCAAAATCAGTGTTTGTAATTGTGTCTGGAGTATGTAGTTTAAAATATGAAGGATATGACATGAAGCTTTGTATCTCCTTTGGCCTTATGCAAGACCTTGTGTGCTGTAAGTGCCATTTCTCAGTATTTTAAAGGCTCTGACCGGCCTTTCTCCAATGTGTGGCCTACAATAACTAGCATTTGTTGATTTATATTGAACTTCTATAAAACAAAATCATGGGGGAAGAACACTTAGCCATCAGAAAAGTAAAAGCACTGGTACATTTCATAATGCAATTCTTCAGTATCATTTTTTCTTTAATTACCTACTTGGAGAATTTCTCTATAGTAATTACGAAGGGAAATTTTTAATTTGTTTTATTGGTTCACTTAATTTCAGACGCATACATCATATGTTATTGGGCTCATAAATGTTTCCAAATGTTAGTTATTCTGGACCCCATTTATTGACAATGTTAGCTGATTTTAACCTATCAGTATTATTTTATTTCTTTTAGTTTTTAGATCTGTGCAACATTTTGTACTGTATGTTTTCAAACCTGGCAGTATTAATACCCTTCTTACTGACATATGTACCTTTTTAGTTTTAGAAAACTTTTATATTTATGTGTCTTATTTTTATATTTCTTTATTTATTACACAGTGTAGTGTATAATACTGTAGTTTGTATTAATACAATAATATATTTTAGTATGAAAATTTGGAAAGTTGATAAGATTTAAAGTAGAGATGCAATTGGTTCTCTTGCATTGAGATTTGATTTAACAGTGTTATGTTAACATTTATACTTGCCTTGGACTGTAGAAGAGAAGAATTAAAACGGGAATGTATCAATTTTACAATCGCAATCAATTCATTTTACCTTTTCCCAGTTTTTAATATAAAGCTCTTAAATTTTGAAATTCACTGTATGACTAATAGCATGATGCTCTGCCGTTTTATTAAGAGTTTAGCCTAACCATAAAACACTCATTTCCTTAGCTAAGCCAAGATAGAATAATCTTCTAAACAGTGTTGGGAACAATGTTTAACATTTCTGTGCCAATTTGTTCCTGTATTCATGTATGTGAGTTACAAATCTGAAACTTTTTTTTTTTAAGTTCCTTGTTACATCATGGTCATTTTCTAGTTTTCTACCAGACTCCCCATCTCACAATAAAAAGCGTCAACAAGCCTGATTTACTGTCATTATTGCAGAAATAAAAGCAAGGAGAGGGTTGTTTGGCACATTCCCGTGGGACATCACTGAGGCTGCATGTGCCCTGTTTCTTTCACAAGAGCAACTGAAATGACTTCCCCCTCAGTTGTAGAACTGATAGTTAGGTGCAAATGTAATGGGAGAAACAGGGAAGCAAGAACTTTTATTGTGAAAAAAAAAGTAACTTTACTAAGCTTCACGGCCGAGAGAAATTTTTGCATTCCTCCCCCTTTGTTGCTATGCTCCCATTCTTTCGCATTCTAAATTTTCGAAATTGCTGCTGTGTTGGGGGTTGGGAATCCTTACCAGCATTAGCCAACAGATGCTCTCAACAGAAAAACAAAAGCATGCACTCTATCTACAGCAGCAGTATCTGACATGCTTCTGGAAGCTTGCTTTCCTTTGTCCTGGGGACAACTTTGAAGCACCACAAAAACCCGAGATGATAACTGGACTGGAGACCATGGCAGCATGTAGAAATGAATGTGTGTTTACCGTAACCACCTGTGACCGATCTCCAGTGCATCCCTGAAAATCTGTTGCCTATGTACTGCTTCAGACTTTGCTTAGGTGCAGATAACCACTTTGAGCTTGGTGGGGAAACAAGTCTGTTAGAAGAAGCATATGTTGTATGTAGGCAAATGGATTACTTGAGTGGTTTAGTGAGTTTTCTGAGGTCAGCAACTAAAGTGGAAGCAACTAGGAAACTGCTCCTTATAGAGTTGTTCCTTGGTTTCTAGATCAGCAGGAAGGACTAGGTAGCACCTTGCTAAATTATAATTTTTGTTTTCTTGTTTGATCCGCCTGCTGCAAAATACCATTGAGCTCTTTTGAAAGGAAATGAGCTAATGTCCCTGCTGTATGCATTTTTTAAAAATTGGAAGATTTCCTTTTTACCTTTTTTTAAAATGGTCAAAATCATTCCATACATCAAAAGGAAAAAATACTATTAGTTCATTGTTTTCTACACAAAAGTATTTTCATAGTGAGCATCATGTACTTCATTTCATGCCACTATACCACTAACATACATACATATGTTGTTCTGTTCCTGCATAAGAGCATTTATTTTTAACATCATGCAAGATATGTGCTCCCAATGAGATAGGAGTTAATGGCTGCTTAACTAATCTACTCACTGAAGTAAAAAGTTGAGGCTCTTCTCCTTGGACATAATCATGAAATTAGTATCTCAACAATAAACAAAGGTAAATTGGCATTGAATGTGTTTGGAACATAATGTGAGAATGTATTAAAGGCTTCTTAACCAAAGTTAAATTTGTATTTCATGTAACTGCATTTTATCTTCTATATATGTTCTGAAAATGCTTTTTCAAAACCTCTTAATGCCTCATTTTAAAATTTCTACCCCCATTACTTGTCCTTTTTTGTCCTCTTTTTCTAGAAATGCTGACTTGGGAAATGCAAAATAAATAAGTTATGAACCTGGAAATATTTCTAAAAATAGAGGGGGGAATCCAGATAAAGTTTTCTACTTAAGGCTGTAGTCTTGTGCACATTTATCTGGAAGTTAGGCCCTTTGAACACAACAGGGCTTACTTCTGAGTAAGCACGATTAGGCTGTTCTGCAGGTCTCCAACCATGTGCACACATTCTTATTTATTATGGTACTTATTCATAAACTATACACCACTTGATTTGTAACAAAAAAACCCCGCAAAACAGTTTACAAAAAGATAAAATGGGGGGATGACAACACTACTTTAAAGTATACAAAAGTTGAAATACTGAAATGAATTAAGATTTAAAAGCGTCTAAACAAGACTGTTTTTAGCAGGCGCTGGAAAGAATACAGTGAAGGCACCTACTTGATATCAATAGGCAGGGAGTTCGAAAGTGAAGGTGCTGCCACACTAAACGATGGAGTGCTTACATATGCAGAACAGGTATGTGACACCTGTAGTAGTGCCAATTCTGCTGATCAGTATTCTTGGGATTTCTTTAAAAAAAAAAAAAAAAGTACTGTATATGAGTGGGATTCAAGTGCCAGTTCTAATGCTGCATGAAAAGCTCCCGTTTTTGCAATTTCATTTGCAGACTGCAAAAAAAGCTTGACAATTTGAGAGCAGGGCAAATGGAATTTCCTGGTGCTCTTCCTGGGCTCATGATCATTTCCCCCGGCCACAGAACACCCTCACAACAAAGTGATGTTCTAGGCATTCTGGCAAGTGAAAGGGTACCTGCCAACCTAGGAAGAATTTGAAGGTACGCTAGTACATTTTGGGCCAAAAGTTCTCAACTAAGAGCTTTCATCTCATAACTTCCAAATCTTACTATAATTTTTTTATCTAAAAGTATCCAGCTAGGCATCTTAGTTTTAACACCGGTTCAGCTACTGCTTTTAGGGCCAGTGTAAACTTACTGTGATAAAATATAATGGATATACTGCAGGCATCCCCAACCTTTGGCCCTCCAGATGTTTTGGACTACAATTCCCATCATCCCTGACCACTGGTCCTGTTAGCTAGGGATCATGGGAGTTGTAGGCCAAAACATCTGGAGGGCCGCAGGTTGGGGATGCCCGATATACAGTGGTACCTCGGGTTACATATGCTTCAGGTTACATACGCTTCAGGTTACAGACTCCGCTAACCCAGAAATAGTGCTTCAGGTTAAGAACTTTGCTTCAGGGTGAGAACAGAAATCGTGCTCCGGCGGCACAGCAGCAGCAGGAGGCCCCATTAGCTAAAGTGGTGCTTCAGGTTAAGTACAGTTTCAGGTTAAGTACAGACCTCCAGAACGAATTAAGTATTTAACCCGAGGTACCACTGTACTGTGTAGTGAGGATCTGCTATGTACTGATGGCCACCAGCTTGAATGACTTTACAAGGGTTAGACAAATGGACGGACAAATCAATGGCTGCTAACCATGAGAGCTATCTTCCACTTCTGCTGTTGGTAAACTCTTAGACTCTGTGAGTAAACCTTAAATTCTCTTCTAGATGGCACAGGGAACAGGTTGTTGTTGCTGCTGCTGACACAAACAAGGGATGAAGCTTTGATCACATCTCGAAATAGGGTGGCTTTGTGCACTAATTTTGATTTCAGGTGGTGTTTCTTCAATACACTAATGAAAAGCCAGATGACTCCTAAACGTGGTTTCCTTGCATTTCTTCCTGCATGGTAAGTTGCAAGAAGGGAAAGGAAAGGAAAGGCGGTGTCTTACACATGGCTTTTATGTAAGCACTTCCTACTACATTGCATCCAAATTACACGTGATGCTCAGTTGCAGAAGTTCCTGTCCTCTCTGATATTTTTTTCCATTTGGTTAATTAGCTGTTCTCTAAGAAGAAATACAAAAGTGCCCAGCCAGAAGATAAAGATGCCACCTTGTTTCTCTAGGTTGCAGCCTAACAACAATATTAAAGAGGGAACAGTACTCACAATTTGTCAGACTTTTGCTGTCACATCTGTGTTGTATGTTACCTAGTCAAACACAACTAGTTATACTACTGGGCACTGCAGATTATTCTTTTAAACTTTTTAAAAGAAGACAGAGAAGCATCTTTAAAGCAATTTTAAAACTGGCTTTAACTTCAAGTGGCAAAGCATTATTGGGAATATAAAAGTGACCAACAGAAAAACACGGAAGCAAAAAAAACCCCTAAAATCTGATTGTGTGATCTTTTCCTTAACAGGTGTGCATTGAAGAGTAACACAATGCAATTGAGAATGAAATAAAGGTTTAAAAAAAAGTTTCTGTATCCTGTAATTTGTCTTATGTCCTTAAATGAGAAAAAAGTAAGTCCTGCCTGAATATTTGCTTCAGTTTCATCACTCCAGGACAGTGACTTCACAAATGCCCCATAATATCAAGTGCCATAACATCTGTTTCCCACTTTTCTTCCAAGGAACTCAGAGCAGCAGCATTCATGGAGCTCATTTTTATTCTCACATCACATTAATTCTGCAAAATAGGCTGAGCCAATGGATAGTAGTGTGTTTGTCTCTGTAATGCAGCTGCTAGGATGCTCAGTGGAACAACCAGCTTTGCACGTATTACAGCTGTGTTGAAAGATTTGCACTGACTGCCTATTAACAAGCGAGTCAAGTTCATCATTTTGTTATAGATGTTTAAAGTCCAAAGCACTTGGGAACCAGGGATACCTAGCAGGCTACTTCCATTGATACAAGCCGGGTTAGGTTCTTTCTGCTTATTGTTTCATAGCCAGTGGAGTGTTATTTAGTACCAGCGCAGAAAAGGGCCTTCTTTGTGATGGCACCAAGAGTCGGTAATGACTTTAAACTCTTTTAAGCTGATTTTTTTACCCAAGCTTTTCTGAACACTGATTCTTAATTTTGTTTTATTTTGTACATTACTTTTATTTCTAGTATACAGTTTTCTTGTGTTTTTATCTCGGTTTTGCTTAGTTTCTAGGAAATTATATTGAATGTTGTATTTTAATCCTTGTATGTAAACTGCTTAGAGATTTTTTTTTTTATTAAGTAGCATTGAAAATGTATAATTAATACGATAAAAAAACTGACATGCCTAAAGCCACCCAGTGAGCTTCATGGCTGAATGATGATTTGAACCTATATCCAAGTCCAAATTCTGGGCTGAATTCAGCTGATGAGTCCTGCTAGCAAAAGCCCACACAGCCCACTGTGCAACATGAGATTAGCTTTACCCTCAAAGAGTTTAGAAATAAATGGGGGGGAGGGGAGAGTTAAACCAGATTAAAAAGTTAAACTCACCCATGTTAGTCCCTTAGCTTGGCTTGGGGCAGGGAGATCTCTTACACCCTTAAATGCGGTTCCTTTGAGACAACAGTCTCTGAGCAAAGATTAAATGCACCTAGCATTTATGGTAAAAGGGGAATCTAATGTGTCAACAAGGGAGAAATGTGGATGGCAGTATTTTCAAATATCAAAATATTCAAAACCGGTCATTTTCATTTAAAGCTTGCGGGTGGCACTACAGCATCTGCTGCAGCACACACAACAGTAAGAGGCAATGAAGGCTGGTATGGATGTGATATCTGGGGCAGTGATGTCTTCCAAGTTTGGATTTCACACTCCCATTTGCCCCAACCAGTATGGCTAATAGGGATGCTGGGAGCTGGAGTCCAGCAAAATCAAGATGGCATCATGTTGGCTGCCCCAGTCTGTGGCCTTTCTCACATCTTACACAGTGGTACCTCGGGTTACATACGCTTCAGGTTACAGATTCCGCTAACCCAGAAATATTACCTCAGGTTAAGAACTTTGCTTCAGGATGAGAACAGAAATCGTGCAGCGGCGGCACAGCCGCAGCAGGAGGCCCCATTAGCTAAAGTGGTGCTTCAGGTTAAGAACAGTTTCAGGTTAAGAACAGACCTCCGGAACGAATTAAGTACTTAACCCGAGGTACCACTGTACCAGGAAGCTAGTCCTGCAGACCTAACACACTGGCCAGATGTCCAGGAGCTGTAAAAGGGAATCTGATATCTAGACATCAGGAGATTGCTTCTACCGCATAAGCCCCACTGCCTGTTTATGTTAAGCGCTTAAGAAAATGCGCTGTATATATTTGGGGTGAGATTCCGTTGCAAGGAGGGCCTTATGTAATTCCCTGCGTATTCTCCCCTGCCAGAATGGTTCATACTCAAGCAGATCAGTGTTTCTAGCCTTCAAACAATCCGTGTGGGTGGCTGAGCAGAGGCCGGCAAGAGTGTCAGTCGGTTAAAAAGAGCAGGCTAATGGAACTGCTTGTTCTGATCTGAACTCGCTTCCTCCAATCAAACCCAAGTCCACGAATCACACCACAAATGCCTATTGCATGCAAACTGGGCATTTCACTTTTGTCATTCTGGTGTGAGATAACAGGAGTGAACTCAGCGGTTCCACACTTTCCTCGCCACCCTATAAAAATGTACAGAGGTGTTGCTTTTCCCATTTCAATGACAAAAATACAACTGTTTCAGCCAGAAATTTGGCCTAAAGATTTGTTATTCATTCCCCCTCCCTTTTAAGATCTCTGTTCTGTGTCCCCCCCCCGCACTATTTTGCCATGAAAGGGCTATGTCTAAAAGCAGCTCTTGTCAGCTCACACTGTAAAGTGGCTTAATAAGCTAATTTGTCTGTCACGTTTGTTATTACAATGTTTCCATCATCCTGCTTAAAATACAGAATCTCACTGTTGTGAATTCTCTCTCCTATCAGTATTCCAGCACTGCTAAACAAGACCACTGAACTTTGGGATTTTCAGTTGCAATTAGCAACTCCAGTCAAACTGGAGTTAACAGGTACACAAGGTGTACATATTGGTGTGACCTCCCTTCAAGCTGATCCGCCAAGCACATATCTCTTCCAATGCTAAAATTGTGTGTGTTGCCATCTGAGGGGGGAGAGATGTTGCCAGGTAATAGAATACAAATATAATGCCAACCCTATGTGAAAAGGAGTGTGTGTGTTTTTCAGCTTGTGGAGACAATGATATTTTAAAGTGAATGTTGCAAGCATTATTGGATAGGATATGGTGCTGGACCTCATGAAAACAGCTTGTTCGTTTGACTTGCTGTTATGAAGCCCCGCTCACGTATCATAAAGCAAGTGTACCTGTTTTCATCCGACAGGCGTTGGGCAGTGTGATTTAGCACTTTCCAAATGTTTCCTATAGAAAAGCCTATCACGGGGACAGGATATTTATCTAGCTTCACACAAGCTTTCTGGGAACATTTTATCAAAG